GTGGGGACAGCCTCAAGGAGAGCGGCTTTGCCGTCTAGCTACCCCTTCCTGTGTGGGTTCTCTCTCTATTGGGGACCCAGCAGAAGCCCCAGTTACATTAAGGATGACAATAGTTTCCTTGCAGCTGGGTTAAGGATATGGAGCAAGACTCCTCTGAAAACATCTGGAAAGAGAAACTCAAGGGGAGAGGGTGGGTACAGAAGGCAGGAGACATCAGTTATAGAATATAGGAGCTGGACAGGACCAGTCCTGTGAGGAAACAAAGGCACACAGAAGTAAAATTATTTGCTCAGGATCACACAGGATTTGCTCAGGATCCCTCAATGATGCTTTCCGTTCTGCTCTGTGTCACCTGCCTAAGTCAAGGAAGAAGCCATAGCCATTGTTTCATGCACGAAGGAAAGAGCAGAGAGGATGCTGACTTTCAGCAGGCTTGCGGGACAAGGAAGGAAAAAGGCCACGCTATGATACACACACGTCCCCACAGACAGTATGTAGAAGAGGTGTGTACCAGAAAGGCTATGCACATATATGTGAAAGAATATCGTTCAGGGTCCACTTATGTAGACCCTGGGCCTGTCCACTCATTTGTGGGTTATGGCTGGGGGGCCCAAACCAGGCTTAACCAGAGGAGGGAAGGCTTGAGCTGGTGTAGACAGGAGTTAAGACATTCTGCAAATCAGGGTCAGTAGGAGGGTGGAAGCCTCCTAAGAGGAAAGGGTGAGAAACAACTCCAGGGCAGGGTAAGGGTGCTGGTTTGTTGTCAGTGTGTAGTGGTCCGCTTCATCTTTTGAATATAGCCCTGAGGCTTATTTTATTTATTTATTTTTAAATTTTTTGTAGTTGTAGATGAACAGAATGTCTTTATTTTATTTGTTTATTTTTATGTGGTGCGGAGGATCTAACCCAGTGCCTCACGCATGCTAGGCAAGCGCTCTGACACCGAGCTATAGCCCCAGCCCTGAGGCTTATTTTTAAAAGGGACATGTTTTCCTTTTCCTTTTTTCCCTCTCCCCTTCCTAACCTGGGGGCTGGGAACAGGATTACCTTGAGTTATCTGTGCTCCACAGGAAAGAGATATCAGCTAGAGGATCTAACAAGTAAATATCTCCCAAATTAACAAGTGAATACTAACACACCACCAGCCTGCCCTGGGACCCCCTGTCAGGACACATCTGGAATGTAGCCTTTGAATATCTCCTTTAAAATCCCCCTGTTCCTCCAGATGGGCAGAATCACAGCCTCTGGGACAGGAGTCCCTTGTGTTTCTCCTTTGGTAGCAGAGCCATAAAAATTCTTTTTCCTTTTTCTCAAAACCATGTTCCCGTTATTGAATTGACGTTGGGGAAAAGGACTGAGCTTTTGGTTACAGGTGGGGACAAAGATCTGGGAGCAAGAGGGTCAAGGAAAAAATGACTGAGTCTGCAGCTGGTGACTGGAGGAGCCTGCGGCCTGGACATAGCCTGGTCACCTGTGACCAGCACCAGGAATCAAGCACCTCCAGTGGAGGAGCTTTAGTGTGCACTGTGGGAGAACAGGGGTGGAGCAGAAGTAGCCTCCCTAATGCTAGCACAGGTGCTCTGTGAGCAACACTCTTGTCCTCTCCTGGGGATAAGGGGTTGGATCTAGTGGGAGAATCTGGTTCTGGAGGCTGAGGGGAAAGCAACAACTCCCCTTTGCCCCCATCACCCCCAGACAATCTCCCTGCCTGGGCCGCAGGGTAAGAGCTATATCATCCCCACTTGTCTGCTATGGTCACTTACACTTTGGTACAGATACATCACTGTGTAATCTCAGAGGTATTGGCAATTGACACCTTATCCTCAACTGTAGAATACAAGGCTTTGCTTCCAGTTAAGAAAATTTCAGTTACTAAGTGCAGAGGTAGGGAGCAATACTAGCAGTGATGTTGAACATTTATCAGTGCTTACTCTGTTCCTGGTGCTTTGCTGGGTGATGGTTTATGGCATCTTCACAAAACTTCTTGGAGGTTGGAAGTACTCTTAGTACTTCCTTGGATGACTGGCATATGCAGCTTATTAGCTGAAGGTTGGAGACTTGTATATGCTCACATAGCTAATAATAGTTTGATACCAAAGCCTTTTCACATGATCAATTTTGGATGCCATTTTAGAGGCTCTGAAGCAAGTACTTTATCTGTGAGCCTAATGGCCTGACTATTTTTGAGACCCAGAGGACTGTCCCCTCTCCCTAGTGGCCAGAGTAAAAATGAGGATAGCAGGAAGGAGGAGTCTCACCTCCAGCTAGATAGTGATCCTGGAAGCCCTTGAGAAAACCAGAGGTCCCCCTTGCTCTTGCTGGAAGAGTGATGTGAAAGGTCAGCTTCATTTCAGTCCCCTGGGACCTAAGTGGCTTCTGGTGGGGGTGGGTACTTAGTAAGGAGCATAGGTACCCAAAGTGCTGGTCCAAGTCTATCCTGGTGACTGAGATCTGAGGACAGGCGAGGACCTGAAAGCTGCCCATTCTGGGCCCTGCCTATTCTGTGAGCTAGGGTCTTGCAGCATTGGTTGTATCCTGGCCTCGGGGTCTGGTGGAGTGGAAGTGAGGTAGGGACCTGGCTTAGGAGAGTGCAGTTGTTCCATATCATATGGAAATAAATGTTGAACCATAATGCAAAAAAAGACAATTGACTCCAATTTAAACCAAATTTAAGCAAGCTTATATTGTGTACACAAAAGAGAGCTGGCCAGCGGCTACCTCACCCGAAAAAACAGGGCCAGAGGACAGCCACAGCTCTCTGGGAAAAGAAGGTTTTTATAGCACAAAAAGTTACAAAGGGGGGTATCTTGGGAACTTACAGCTAAAAGGGTTCTGGCAAGCATAATACAAGGGCAGATAGCAGGTTTATGATCTACATCTCAAGGTAGGGAACAAACTCAGATTCCAACATCAAAGTTAATGAGGAGCATCTGGGATTTCAGGGAGGGTTGTTATCTGGTCAAGGAGAGATGGGCACTGGTAAGTTCAAAGCCTGGGCAAAAATCCCAAGCAAGTTTTTAAAACATCAAATTATGGTCAGGCCAAATAGAAATCTTAGTATTTTATAGTAAAACAGAAATGAACTTTTCATGACTTTGTGACAAGATGGCTCCCAATTTTAAGATGGAATTAGTCTGGGTTCATCAATAAACATTTTGGATTCCTGATCATATCCCTAAGGTCTAAGACTGTGGTCAACAAAGTCAACTCTACAGTTTCATGTACTCTAGGAAGGCCTGGAGTGAGATCCAACCATCTAAGGCCCTTGCCCCCTCCCTTGCTGGATGGAGCTTGATTTGAATGAGGGATAAGGGCCTTGTGAGGGTGAGTCTGTGGGCTGGGAATTGGGGTGTGTGTGTGTGTGTGTGTGTGTGTGTGTAGAGGGGCGGGGCTAATATCCAAGAAGGTGGTGGAGGAGGGGGTTGGAGTTGAAGGATGTGACTTCTGCTGCAGTGCATAGTGCCCCCTGCTGTCCACAAGGGAAACAGCAGCTCTGGATTCCCCCAGTCTCAGCAGGCCAAGGCTCCTGTTGGCTTCTAAAGCTGCTCAGCATCCTAGGATGCTTGTGTTCCTTTGAGGGGACCTCTCATTGGATTCTGGCTCCTGGAGGGATGTGGTTGAGTGGAGGATGTGGACCTGCAGTGTGTATGTGGGGGGATTCTGGATGCCCATGTCACAGGAGTTTTGAGGGACTGAGCCCTTTTTAGCATGGGTCGGAGAGCCACCCTGGAGGCCTACAGTTCCTGAGTCAGGAACTCTGACAAGATTGCACTGAGGAACACTGAACTGACAAGAACACTAAGGACAGTCCTGTGGGGAGAGGCTTGGACATGCACTGTGAACTCAGAGAACCAGGATACTTAGAAGACCTCATGACCTGGGCAATGTGCAAGTACACACAAACATGTTCCTGTGCTTTGGGGAGGGATGCGCAGGATCCAGTGGCCTGCAGAGCCTCTGCTAGGTGGCTTTGAAAAGTAAAGACTTTTCATTCCCCACTCTGCTGGGGACATCTGTGGAGAGGCTGGGCAGGGAATATACTATTAGTCCAATTCTGAGTTATTTTCCAAATTCACTTCAGGGCATGTGGTAGGGTTAATAGCACAGGCTTCCATCCTTGCCAGAGCCCCAGTAATTCTTGTATGCGTAGGGGACTCAGCCATCGCAGGAAGAGGAGACAAGGATGTGCATCTGCTGAGGGCCAGGGACTTTCCACCCCTCCACCAGGCTCTGTTCCCACCCACATATTGAGAAATGTCAGAGAAGACTCTCTGACACTTGCTCTATAGGACTTTTATTCTGAAAGAACCAAGGCCCCTGGAGACAGGGAAGAGACCAGGCTGGAGCTGGCCCTGACCCTCTACCAGCTCCACCCTTCTGGGCAGTCTCCCAAGTCAGTGAGTCTGGGACCCTTGGGGAGGAGTCTTGCTGTCTTCAGCTCTCTCCCTTGTGCTCAGTCTCCAGGTTTGCTGGTCTTCAAGCAGAGGTTGCTCCAGCCACTTCTGCTACTGTTGCTTGCACACCTGCATGTTTTCTTCACCTCTTTATCCCCTGGCCTTGCATCCTCTATCTGCTTCCCTTTTCTTTTCTTTTTCTTTTTTTTTAATATTTATTTTTTAATCGTAGGTGGGCACAATATCTTTATTTTATTTTTATGTGGTGCTGAGGATCGAACCCAGGGCCTCACGCGTGCTAGGCTCTACCACTTGAGCCACAACCCTAGCCCCTGCTTCCCTTTTCAGTCCTTCTTGCTGCCTGTCTTTCCCAAAGTAGACACAGAGGCCAGGGCACTATTTGGAAGCTCCCAGACTCCCCATCACTGGCCAAAAGTCTCACCCAGTCCCATCCCTTTTCCCCAACACGTGGGGGAAACTGGCCAGGATGTCTTCAGATGTCAGTAAGCTGGATCCGTGGGACTGAGTGGTTAAGGCCATGCCTCTGACTGGGTTTTGTTGAGTACTTGAGGCTTTCTTGAGAATAAAGACAAAGAAACAAGCAAGAAGTCTCTAACAGCGGAGTACATTTAAACTCTTGAACCAGTCACGGTTTTCCAAAAGATCTACTGGGATAGAATTTTCAAGAAGAATGCCTAAAGTCTAGTTTTTTTTCTTAGATGGAAAATAAGAAGCCAAATTAACTACAGAATGGAGGTCAGTTACTCTCAAGGGTCCTTTCCCCTTTGCCTTCTTCTGCCATCCAGGAGGCCTGACCTTGAACTGGAAGCGGGGCCATTATTGAGCAGTGGAGTGTGTGAGAAAAAAGACTTTGACCTGGGGGCTGCAGGTTACCAATTAACATGGGGTGAGGGAGGATAGTGGCCGAGATGGGGACGCTGACCTGGCACAAGCTGGGCTTGAAAAGGGCACAAACAAGAGGGGCCTGGATTGGTGCTGTCGGGAGGGCCTTGGCTCCTCTCTGGCTATCTGACCTTCCTGAAGACCTGCTTGCACACCGCATCCCTCGCAGTCAGTTCCTGGGGGTAAAGGAGGACAGTGAAGAGGAGAGGGTTCTCACCAGCTGGGACTCAGACCTTCTCACAGTCCCTGACCTCACTTAATCCCTCAGGATACAGCAGCTAAAGCATTTGATGTATGGGGAATTGTATCATTGTTTCAAATCCTCAATTTTTCACCCCAGAGGAAGGAAGGTCGCTGGGTCAGGAGATGAAATGGTGGTTTCCATATCTCCAGTTATGATTTGTGGGTATTCATCTGATTTTTAGCCAGGACCCACCTTGGCCACTCTGTATCTTTTTCTCCCTACTCTTACAAGTGCCCCGCCCTACTTCCTTGGAGCAGACAGTGAGGGTGGGTTGGGGTGGAGGAATAGACTTTCTGGTTTTGGACAAGAGGTCCCTCTCCCAGCATCCCCCCCCCCCCCCCCCCCCCACCCCCCAACTTACCAGATGCAACTTCTCTCCCTCCAGCCAGTGTCTCCAGCCCCGGTTGGGGACCTCCCCTTTCTGCACACACACCAGCTGCTCCTCCTCCCAGGTTACTATGGTCTATAGGGGAAGGCAGGAATAAAGGAAAATTGGGAGGAAGGACACCCAAAGACTTCTCAACTTACTCTGTTTTCTCTGGTCCCTTCATTCTGAGACAGATGCTCTGATTCAGCAGGACTCCAGCCCCCTGATCCTAAAAGCCTTCAGAGAGGCCCACAGTTATCTATGGCAACCTTTGGTGGAGAGCAGGGGAGGAGGAGGATAACTAGGGTGAAACTGGGGAGGGCGTGATGAAGAATGGAAACTTTGGTATCTCTGGATACCACTGACTTATCTTTTCAGAAAGAAGAAAGATTGGTTGAGAGTTACTCCTAGGTATTCTCCTTTCTTCTCTTTCTCAGTTAACCTGTCCTTAGGACTGAAGGATCATCCCCTGTAGGCTTGGGCATTTCATCAACATTTATGGAGCCTTCCCAGAGGATATGTCTGCTAAACAAGGTATCTATTACCTGAGGATGGAAGAGGGAGGGAAAAGGCAAATCTTCAAGGAAGTTAGGAGTTAAGTAGATTGGAGATAATGGGAAATTTCTTGCAAGGAAACAAATAGCATAGAATTAAGAACGGAGAGCAGATAGTTCTCAAGGGCCCTAACTCGGTACATGGGAAAGCAATGAGGAGTTGGTCTACTCTGTGAAGCATGTGGGCTTTATCTGAAATGTAATAGATCTTCACCAAAGGGTTTAGTCAGGGAGAGACATGGTCACTTTTACATTTTAGAGGATCCTGTGGCTATAGTACACAGAATGGCTTCCAGGGGGTTTAAGATTGGGGACTAATTTGGGGCATCCAGTGAGAAAATTAAGGTGCTGATAATGAGAAAGACTAGGAGGGAATGGATAAGACCCATTTAGAAGAATGATGAACAACAGAAATAAAATGCCACATTTAATGCCAGGCACGGGTGGCATACACCGGTAATCCCAGCAGCTCAGGAGGCTGATGCAGGAGGATTGTGACTTCAAAGCCAGCCTCAGCAAAAGTGAGGCACTAAGCAACTAACTCAGTGAGGCCCTGTCTCTAATTAAAATATATAAAAAAGGGCTTGGGATGTTCTCAATGGTGTCTAGTGCCCCGGAGTTCAATCCCCAGTACCAAAAAAAAAAAAAAAAGCCACATTTACAAAACAATTATCAATTATATGAGACTTATTAGGAAAACTTAATTAATTATTTTCTGCAGAACTGGGGTAAACCCAGGGCCTCAGGCATGTAAGTCTAGTGATTTATCACTGAGCCACACCTCCAGGCCTTTTTGTTTTACTTTAAGACAGCATCTTGCTAAAGTGTCCAGGCTGGCTTTGAATTTGTGGTCCACCTGCCCCAGCCTCTTGAGTAGGCCTGCTCAGAATTGCAGGAGTACATGGCCATACCCAGCTTACTTAAATTTAATAACATTTTATTTAATCTAATATTCAAAATGTTATAATTTCAGCATGTTATCAATAGTAAAAATATTCTGAATCTGGGCATGGTGGTACATGCCTGTAATCTCAGCAATTCAGGAGGCTGAGGCAGGAGGATCAGAAGTTTGAAGCCAGCCTCAGCAACTTAGCAAGGCCCCATCTCTAAATAAAATACAAAAAAGGGCTGGGGATGTGGCTCAGTGGTTAAGCACTCCTATGTTCAATCCCTGGTATAAATATGTGTGTGTGTGTGTATTTTGAGATGTTTAATTTTTTTTAATATTATTGTTTTAAAATCCAGTGTATATTTTGCACACATGGCACAATTCCACTTGGTCTACTTCCATGTTAGTGTGCAGAAGTTATATGTAATTAGTAGCTACTATATTGGACAGTGCAAAAAAGTTATAAAGATTTCTTTTTATAAACAATTTTTTTGTAGTTGTAGATGGACAGAATTTTATTTGTTATTTTTTTATGTGGTTCTAAGGATTGAACCTAGTGCCTCACATGGGCTACAGCCCCAACCCTGTAAAGTCTTCTTGATGTGGAGGTTGTGGGTTTGGTGGGCATAAGAGTAAGGAAACAAGAGACATCAACTGCATCTCCTGGTTGACTGGTTATTGCCATTAACAGAGAAAGTAAATATAAAAGTGGAGTAGGTTTGGATAGGAAGATAATGAATTCAAGTTTGACCTTGAGGCACACAAATGGAAATATTTTTCAGGCAGTTAAAAACATCACCCTGGATCTCAGGAGATGGCTCTGGCTGGAAATGAATGTCAAGGACAGTTTATAGATGGTAGCAGAAAGCTTGGATGTAGGTGATTTAGCCCATGGATGGTGTACAGGTAAGAAGGTCAAGAATGAAACACTGTGAGGAAAACCCCAGTTTAAGGGATAAATAAGGAAACTAAGGGGACCAAGAAAGACCCTGGAAGAAGTAGGGAAAGACACAGAAGACTAGGGTTATAGAGAAGAGACTGTGGTAACCCACAGTGTCACAGGATAGAACAAATGTTTGCTTACCCTTGGGTGGCTTGCTCTTTTTTCCTCTGGGAGATGATAAGAGGGAGCAGGAGTGAAGGACGAAATGAGGGGAGGAGCAGAACCTTCTAGTCCCAGAGCCTGGTACCCTAGGACCCCATGGCCTGCTGTGGTGGTCATTTTCCCTGGCTCTGATGTCTGAGAGAGGATCCTTTGTTTTGGTCCACACTATTAGGAGGCACTGGCTTGTCCTTCCTCTCCCCCCCAAGCCTGAGAGAAAGTACCTGGCATTTTCGTCCATCCACGATCCTTAAGTCCTCTTCAAACTCAACTCCCACCTCAAATTCCATGACATAGTTGCGGAAGGTGCTGAGCGTCTTCACTATTATGCGGTCGCCCTGGTGGTCAATCTCCTTGTCTGGCTTCAACAGCAACACTATTTTCCGCAGGGCCACGTTGATGTCTGTGGGGGTTAAGTCTTAGCAAGGTACCTGCCACCCAGCCAGGTACTCCCCTGCCGTAGCAGCGCCCGGCCTGTGGCTTTGAGCACTCCCTTAGTAGAGTCTGGCACTGGGGATTTACCCACCCACTATTGGAAATGAATCTCAAGTCAGCTGCCACTTGACAGAGCCACAAAATCCAACCCCAGTGTGCCCCCTTCTTAGGGGGAACTAGAAGTATCAAGGGAGAGAGAAGGAAAGTGAAAGAGGTATGGGAGGGTGAGGTCATTACTTAGGGCCTGCAGGTAATCCTCCAAGTTCTTCTGGGAGACAAAGCGGTAGTAGCCAGTGAGGTTGGGAGGCATTGTTCCACTGGTCAGAATGGAGATCAAGATTTCAGGAGAATACAGGAGACACAGGCAGGCGGGCGAAGAGGCTAAAGAGTGCTGACAGACTTTGGCCAGTCCTCCACAAACACACAGGAGAGTGGAAAGGTCCCCTGGCCAGGGGTTTTATAGGGCTGAGCCCTGTTGCAATAAGAGTCGTTACCAGCCTTCCCTCCCCCATGACGAGTTGGGGGCTGGTGTCTACAGCTTGATGGAAAGTCTGGGACTTGGCAAAATTGAGCCTGATCTCAGCTTTTCCTGAGGAAGGAACTTGGGGCAGGATTTGGGACTGTCAATCATCTAAAACTTGAGCCTTTCCAAAAGTCAGTTTTGGCTTCCACCCCATTTCTAGCAGGCTTTGAAACCTTCCTGGAATCCTGAGGGGGCAGCCTTCCCCAGAGGATGCAGCCATGGCTGCCCTGACTCAGTCAGATGGGGATAAATGAGTTCTAGGAGTATCCTGAGATCCTGAGACTGAGTCAGGGATATTGAAAGGTATGTGGGGAGGAGGGAGGGAAACAGCCAGCTGGCCAGGAGCCACAGTGCAGAAAGCCCTGGAGCCCTAGTCTCACAGCTCCCTCAGACAGTTGGCTGAACTGGGACCCCAAACTGGTATTCTAGGATCTTGGTCCTGTTAGGTTGTAGAGAGGGTGGCAGAGAAACTGACTGTCAGCATCCTCATGGGTATTGAGTTCAAGGTCTGGAGCAGGTGTGGGAGGGATCTGTCTGATTATTCTGAAGAAATTTATCCTCTTTGGCTTAAGACCCAGAATTTCTGTCTTGAGTTGCCAATGATACCACACACACACCCCCACCCTTGAAAAGCTCATTTTTACCAAATGTGTTCGCATAATGGTGTAGAGGACCCCTAAATTATTGTATGTTCCACCCCCAACTGCACATTTCTCTCTCAAACCTGCCAAATTCCCTGGCTTCAGAATCTCCTGGGCTGTTCTATCATGGCTTAAGTTGGGAAATTTGGAGAGGGAGGTAGAGAGAGTAGGCAGTACGAAAAGCTGCTGGTGAACTGTCCCAACAGGGGTGTGAGTGTTGGGAGGCAGGCACAAACATCTCATTCTTGCTCCAGTCCCAGGGAGCTTTTCATGACCCTGATGACTCTCCTATGGTTTCTACAGAGACCTGGACTGGGACTTAAAATTTCTAGGATTTCTCATGTTCAGACTGAAGATTTTACTTAGCAGTTCCCAGAAGCACACAGCAGGGACTTGCTGATGGAAAGTGCTGTGAAAAGAGGTTAATGCAGAGTTGGGGGTGTGGTGATGTGGGTACCGCCCCTTCTGGCCACCTCGGGTCTCAGGTCTCGGTGGATGTCTCCCTTCCCCATCCCTGGCTTCTAGCTTTTCCTTTCTCTCAATGTCCCCCTTATCTCCCATCCCCTGTATGGCTTTCCTGCTTCCTCCCCAACCCCCGCAGTTCCTCTGCTCCCCCAAATTGCAGTCAGGGGAAAAAGCCCTAACACATTCTCCCGCCCCTGCTCCCCAGTCCTATTGGTTCCCTCCCTCCCTGCAGCACCTGGCACCCCCAGTCACGCGATTGGCCAGCGGCCTCATCAATCCTTGCCTGGCTGTGCTGACGTCATCCTGCAGTAGCTGGGATGGGGTGGGAGTGAGAGAGTGAGGACGCTGGGCTCAAGAGGGAAGAGAAGAAGCCACTGCAAGTCCCCCATCTCAGCCACTGAGACTGGGGTCTGCCAGCGTGTGCTTTATGGACTAGCGTGGGCAGCAGGCTCCTTTCTGTCACTGCCTGCTGCCCTCCCCTCTGTGGAGAGCCCCGACATCTCTCCTCTGAGGTGGAATTAGCAGACTTGAGTCTCCCAGGGGACAGCGATCGCCTGGCCTGGCCCTGCCCCACACCCACACCATGACCTTCCTGCTGCTGCCCCTCTTGCTGGCCTTTCTGCTCCCACCCAGCTCTGGGAACAAAGGTGAGTGAGGTGGGGGTGGGGGCTCTGAATGAAGGTATCAAGCAGAGCAATGTGGGGGTGGGGTGGGAAGAAGGTGTTGAGACTCTCTGGCACCTGACAGGTGGCCCTTCCTCTCTGACCATCCCTGTTCTTATCCATTTTCTCAGACCCGTTTCCTACCCCTCCTTCTCACTTCCCAGAGCCACATCTTCCTCTCTAACCCATCTCTACCCATGTGCTTCTCTTGCCAGTCATCCTGCTCCTATTTGGTTACCATTCCTGTCTTGGGGGTGGGGGGGTCTCTTGCTTCTCTCCTCTCTCCCCCAATTTCTCCATTCTAGTAGATATCTTAGGTCTTAGAAAGACTTGCCCCGAGAGGTGGTATACTTATCTCAATGATTTTCCTTTCTCACTGGGGTGTGCACACGCTAAGGGTGTGTGGCAGATCCATCTGGATCCTTTCCATCCCATCCTGGGGAAAAACTGTTGGTTGCAGCTCAGCAATTCCGAGCACGTATGTTTTTGCGTGTTGCTCTGCATCCATACCCTGTGCCTGCATCCGCTGGGCTGTGGGTTACCAGAGCTGCCCTCTCTGGCAGACAGCAGATAAATTCAGCTGGGTGAGGCTGTCAGAGGGATGGAGAGAGGGTGGGAGGGAGGGGTTGGAGCAGAGGGCTCAGGTAGGTGGAAGGAAGGGAGAAAGGCAGGGAAGGGCAGAAGTGGGTGTGTGGGGGTACCAAGTGAGTGGTGAGAAGGAAAGCTGCGGTGGAGGAGAGGGAGGTGAGATGTGGGAGGAGGAGAAGAAGGGGATGGAAAAGGGTAAAGGTAGAGGCAAAAGAAAGGGAGGAATGAAAGGAAAATCAGGAAGAAAAGTGAGAAGAGAGGAGGCACACAGCCAAAGAGTCAGGGAGCCTAAGAATGAGTGACAGGGAAGGAAGGAAGGAAGGAAGGGAGACGGAAGGCGACCAAGAAGAGAGCAACAGGGGAACAGAGGCTCAGGGACCAGGAGGAGATGCGGGATTGGAGGGGTGAGGTCTGGAGAGGGTGCCCAGCCCTGCCCTTGCCATGCCTCAGCCCTTCCATCTGCTCTTTTCTCTCTTCAGGACCTCAGCCTGGCTTCTGAGCCTCCTGCCACTTCCTGTGCGGCCTTCAGTGCACCATCTTGTGGCTTTCTCTTCAGCCATTAGGGAAGGGGGTTATGGTGGTTATCAGCAAGAAAGGGGCAGGCATTCAGGTACCAGGAAGTGTGTTGAGGTGTGGTTGGAGGGGAGAGTGGAAATCAGGATTTCTTGCTCACCCACATTGCTGGGGGTGAGATGCCCTTTGGTGACTCAGTTTCCCTCAGATGACACATCCTCCCACACACGTGTCCAGCCAATGTGCCAAAGTGAACGGGCCTTTAAATCCTGGGTGTTTGCTTGACAAGATTAGATAGAACAAGCTGTGGAGGTTGGGGATGGGGGTGAGGTAGAGGGGGAAGGGAACGCGTTGAGCTCAAGGAACATGCTTCGGTTTCCCCACAGCTCCTCGCCAGGCCAGTGGGAGATTGGTCCTGAGAAGCAGATGTGATTTAGCTGAGCCTGGTAGGAGATGGGGAGAAATGAGTCTGGCTGAATCCCACATTTATCCTGAATTGGTTGGTGGATGAAAGAAAGAGGGCTGAGGTAGACAAGAATTGGGATTAAATCATGGGTCTGTATAAAAAGTTGAGTCTGGGCTAGAGATGTAGCTAGGTGGTAAAGTGTTTGCCTAGCAAGAACAAGACCCTGGTTTGATTCCCACCACAGCAAGAAAAAGTGGGGTACAGGGAGTGTGGGGTTTGGAGGCCTTAAAGAGGACATAGAGATGTGCTGGTTGTAAATGTTCTCTTGGGTGTGGGGATGGGAAACAGGGAGGGGATTTGGCATTTTTCTAGGCCACCTCCATAATCCCTTAGGATGTCAGCTCTGCTGGTCCTGTCATTTGGCATTGATTCCTCTGCTCCATCCCTGCCCCTCTCTGTCCCCCTCCCTCTGTCCTATATATCTTCTCTTCTTTCCTTTCTCCTCTTCCTCTGCTCCGAGAGAGTGGCCTGAGGTTGGGGTCTGACTGGGAAAAGTGCAGAATGAAGGGATCAGGATAGAAATGGGGTTTGGAGTGTGTGTGGGAGGATAAACAATCAGGATGTTAGGAAACTTCTAGATTTTCTCTTTCTAGTCTTAACTCTGCCTGTAATTTATCCCTTCCCTTTCCAGGACCTTCTGAGGGCTCACTACTGCTTCCCGAGTCCCCAGTCTCCATCCTCTAAACATAGGAGGTCCCTAAAGAAGATTCTCCATCTCTAACTATGGTTCCCAGGGGAGATAGTGGCCCCCTTCCCCCAGGGCAGGCAGTTGCCATGGAAACAGTCCAACTTGCCATGGGAGAAGGCTCTGATCTCCCACAGACCTTCTGACTTCTATAGTTGATTTCTTATCTTTAGTCCTTCCTTTTGTAAGGTCCTCCAGCAGGGAAGGAAAGGGCGATGATGCTGTGGTGTGAGTTGCTGGGATGGGAAGGGTTCGGGTGGGAATGGTGGTCCTGCTCACAGGTGTTTCCTCTCCTCTCCCTGGGGTGGGACCAGCCAACAAGCACAAGCCATGGATCGAGGCGGAGTACCAGGGCATCGTCATGGAGAATGATAACACTGTCCTACTGAACCCACCGCTTTTTGCCTTGGATAAGGATGCCCCCCTGCGCTATGCAGGTAATTGGGGCTGGGGATGAGCAATGCAGGGGCAGGACAGAGAAAAGTGGGTGGGAGAGCAGAGCGCAAGGGAGGGAGGGAAGAAAGTGGGGAGAAGGCCTGGGGAAAGTGGAAGTGGGCTCAAGGAGGGGCATGGGCTGGCAGGGGTTAAGCACATTCCAATTTTGCCAGAACTCAGGCCTGGTGGTTCTGAGAGGTGGCTGCTTGGAGAAGCTGGGGTTGGAGTTGTATGTCTGATCACTGATGCTTTCCCAGGAGTTTGGGAGGACAGGTGGTACTGGATCCACCTGATGTGTCAGTGTGTCTCAGGTGGGGAGGCTGAGGGCAGCGAAGAAGTACCAGGTAGGGCAGGAGCCTCACCCCGTCTCTTCCCCACTTGGCCAGGTGAGATCTGTGGCTTCCGGCTCCATGGATCTGGGGTGCCGTTTGAGGCTGTGATCTTGGACAAGGCTACAGGAGAAGGGCTGATTCGGGCCAAAGAGCCGGTGGACTGTGAGGCCCAGAAGGAGCACACCTTCACCATCCAAGCCTATGACTGTGGCGAGGGTCCTGACGGCGCCAACACCAAGAAATCCCACAAGTGAGGAAGGCCTTGTCCCCTACCCCATGTGCTGTGGGGCCCCCCTTCCTGCTCCCAAGCCCCTCACCATCCTCTGTCCATGTCTCATTGAAAGTCTACTCCAACCCCCACTATTCAAAAAGTTTAAGGACCATCAGTATGGCAGAGTTTACTGGGATAAAATTCTTTTGCCTCTTATGAGTTTGGACAATTTAGCTTTTTTGGACATGCTTTTTCTTATCTGTAAAATGTAGAGGAGTTGCTGTGAGGATTAATGGAGGTGGTTTGTGAAGAGGAAGAGAACAAGGTGAAGAGAATGAACACATTCAGCAAACATTCAAGTCCCTTTCAACTGTCCCCTCCAGTTTTTTTGCAGTGTGTGCCATGCACACAATTCATAATACACAGACAGCCTTAGGTGAGAGGAAGGGGCAGGGGGTATTTAGAGTGGTAAAGAGGTTTGGGCAGATACCTACATCTGTTTCCAGTTCACTTCTCATTTGAGAATAGGAGAAAGATCAGCATTCAGGATTCCTGGGCCACTAAGAGGTATTAGAGATAAAATGCTCTTTGTGACTTAGTTTCCCATTTAGAGATAGGACCTTTTCCTCTGGGTCTGGATCCTGTGGAGGGCAGGGCCCAGCATGTAGGACCTAGACCCAGCTCTGCTTGCCCAGGTAAGTGCATGAGTGAAGAGAGACAACGGCTGACACACACATTTCATGCACATGCAGGAAGCCCATGGCTCACATGTACTATGTAGATATGTCAGGTGACTTACAACTTTTGTTTTTTGTTTTGGAACTGAGAGTTGAACCCAGGGGTGCTTTACCACTGAGTATTTTATTTTTTGAGACAGGGTCTCACTAAGTTGCTGAGGGTCTTGCTAACTTGCTGAGAGGATGGCCTTGAACTTGTAATCCTCCTGCCTCAGACTCCCTAGTCACTGGGATTATAGGCATTTGCCATTGCACCCAGCTGATTTATAACTTGTACAAATGCCACTTCCCTTCTTTTGGCTGGTTTTAATTTGGCTTTTACTGTGCTTTTTTTTTTTGGTACCAGGGATTGAACTCGGGCACTCAACCACTGTGCCACATCCCCAGCCCTATTTTGTATTTTATTTAGAGACAGGGTCTCACTGAATTGCTTAGTACCTCGCCGTTGCTGAGGCTGGCTTTTGAACTCGAAATCCTCCTGTCTCAGCCTCCAGAGCCGCTGGGATTACAGGCACGTGCCACCATGCCCAGCTTTTCACTGTGTCTTGATTATCCCATTGAATCTGACTGCTGTGAAGGAAGGACCTGCTGGGCTTGAGCCACCTCTTATGGTTATGGTTATGGCAACCTAACCCATAGCATTTTGAACAGAAGTCATCCAGCTTTGCTCCTGGTGTCCCTTATCCTTCACTTCAGCCACCTTTTCCTTGGGCCCTCTTCCTTCTGTTTCCCTATCTCTGGCATGATTTTGGCATAGCCCTGTGCTCTGTGGGGCAGGGGTGAGCAGTCTCAGGGATAGACTGGCTCCCTCGAGCTCCGACTCCCCATTTGGATTTCTGCTTGTACCTTGCTCAGTGTATAGAGACTGGCTAATACTTCCTTGTCTCTCCTCCCACTCTGGTGCATGCAGGGCAACAGTGCACGTGCGGGTCAACGACGTGAATGAGTTTGCCCCAGTGTTTGTGGAGCGTCTGTACCGTGCTGCAGTGACGGAGGGGAAGCTATATGATCGCATCTTGCGGGTGGAAGCCATTGATGGTGACTGCTCCCCCCAGTATAGCCAGATCTGCTACTATGAGATCCTCACGCCCAACACCCCCTTCCTCATTGACAATGATGGTGAGTCCACACTCCCCGTGCCCCAGCTGCCAGTCCTATGCACCCACGTCCCTCAGGACAACCCAGCACTGTGCTCTCTACTTCTGCCCCCTGAACCCTCACTGCACCCTTCTTCCAAAATGTGGAGCCATTTTTATGGGGCTCCTTTTTTCTACTCTCTGCTGATAAATGCAGCTGCTGCCTTAACTTCCCCTTGCCCCCCTGGGCTTTCTGTAGTGCTCCTAACCCTATTTGTCCTCCCCTACTCCTGTGCCCCAGGGAACATTGAGAACACAGAGAAGCTGCAATATAGTGGTGAGAAGCTCTACAAGTTTACCGTTACAGCTTATGACTGTGGGAAGAAGCGGGCAGCAGATGATGCTGAGGTGGAGATCCAGGTGAAGCCCACCTGTAAACCCAGCTGGCAAGGTGAGGTGCTCAGCTCTGTGACCTGTCTTGTGAATTTTCTTTCACCTTAGCTTCTCTTTTTGTCCCTCTTACATCTAAGGGGGCTAGGCTAGGGGTTGAGGGACATATTTGCAGCCAGACATGTACTCCAGCCAAGCCATTTTCCTAAAAGCCTGAGATTATTAGTAGATAAGGCGGGAGAGGAGTGGGTAGGAGCGGCTGCCTTACCTTCTCTCTCTCCACTGCTCTCTTTGTGTCTGTCATGCAGGCTGGAACAAAAGGATTGAATATGCACCAGGCGCTGGGAGCTTGGCTTTGTTCCCTGGTATCCGCCTGGAGACCTGTGATGAACCACTCTGGAACATTCAGGCCACCATAGAGCTGCAGACCAGCCATGTGGCCAAGGGCTGTGACCGAGACAATTATTCAGAGCGGGCACTGCGGAAACTGTGTGGTGCGTGTGCCCCTTCCCCCAGCAGTCCTCAGGCCTGTCCTTTCCCAACCATCTGCACCTCCTCTGTTGTTTTCCTAAAAATTCCCTTATGTCTCCTCTGGCCATTTGCATGTGGATATTCCCACGGGACTTGTGGTATGTGGTTAGCTCTTGTGGGCTAAGGGTAGTAGACATGTCTTTGGAAATAGGCAACAAAGATTATAATTGTTGCACTAGTCACCAGATATATTATAGAACGATGGTAGGGAGAGATCAAGAGGTGGAGGATGGATTGAATTAACTGGAGAGCTATCCCCAGAAGAAAGGTCCATCCCTCTCTTGTCTTTGAAAGTTCACAAGAGAGAGTGAGACTGGTTGTGGGAAATCTTTTCCCATCAGTCCCTCTTTTCCTGCTTCCTTGCAGTTTCCCTATCTGCTGTCCCTTATCTAACACTTGTACCTCCTGGGGCCCTTGCAGGTGCTGCCACTGGGGAGGTAGATCTCTTGCCTATGCCAGGCCCCAATGCCAACTGGACGGCGGGACTCTCGGTGCACTACAGCCAAGACAGCAGCCTTATCTACTGGTTCAACGGCACCCAAGCTGTGCAGGTGCCCCTGGGTAGCACAGCTGGCCTGGGCTCTGGGCCCCAGGATGGCCTCAGTGACCACTTTACCCTGTCCTTCTGGATGAAGCATGGTATAACTCCCAACAAGGGCAAGAAAGAAGAGGAAACCATTGTGTGTAACACAGTCCAGAATGGTGAGCCTTCCTCAGAGCATGGGATTGAGAGTGAGAGACTAGCTTCTTGTCCTCAATCTGTCACTGTCCAGTGTTTGACTGTGGATAGGTCACCTCCTCTCTCTTCCTTTATGACACGCTTTGATAAAAGTGCTAGCTTTTACATTTGCTGAAATTCTATGATTTATCCCCAACATGGCATGCTGAGATCTACTGCTCTGAGTGTCATGGGACTCCTCGTGACCACTGCCATTCTCATTTGTAGTTACTCGATCAATCCCTCTGCATCCCCGATAGTTGACTGCCCCCATCTCTACTCCCATGAGCCATTGCAAAGGAAAAGTTTGGGTAATGGTGTGCCCATTTCTTTCTCTTTTTCCTCATGCCATCCTTCTCCTCCTCTAAGGCTAAGTGACTCCAAGTACCCCTCTTCCTCATCTGCGGTGGCACAGCCCCCTAGGGATTCTCAGCCTTGATCCACTCTTTTTTTTTAAAAAATATATTTATTTGTTTATTTATTTATTTTTTAGTTTTCGGCGGACACAACATCTTTGTTTGTATGTGTTGCTGAGGATCGAACGCGGGCTGCACGCATGCCAGGCGAGCGGGCTACCGCTTGAGCCACATCCCCAGCTCCACTCTTTTTTTTCTAGCCACTTCTCTGGGCTCATTTTTCCTGATCTGAAAAGGGTTGTCACCCATGATGTGTGTATTAATCAAAGGACCAGTGAAGAGCTGGACCAGGGGTAGGAGCAGTTTGGCCAGTGTTCCCCAACCAGTGCTTGAGAAGCTCTAGTCATCACTTGGACTGGAGTATGGGTGGGGAGAGGGGGGATCGTGGAGAGGACACTAGAGAGGGGCGAAATGAGAGCATAGGAGAGGATCAACAGCATCCAGCATCTTCTTCCTACTGCTGTTCTTGCCTCTGGTCTGTGCTTGACTCCTCTCCTCATTCTGTACCTTCAGAGGATGGCTTCTCTCACTACTCACTGACCGTCCATGGCTGCAGAATTGCCTTCCTCTACTGGCCCCTGCTTGAGAGCGCGCGCCCAGTCAAGTTCCTGTGGAAGTTGGAGCAGGTGAGGCTGGTGCCCGGCTCCTGGGAGGGCCAGGTGGATGTAACTAATGTTCAGGGAGAGAGGGTCCCCTGGAGGGGTTGGCATGTTCTGGGTTGCCCTATGCCCCCTCTTTCACTCTTCAATCATTCTACTCCTAGGTTCTTCTCCAAGGCTTGTGCCTTAGGGAAAGAACTCCTGGATTCAAAAGAAATAGGCAACAAATTACTACTAACACCAAGGCTGCCCGATTGTTTTATTTCATCTCTCTTAGGTAGAACCTTAGCAGTACATGTCCCTGACTCTCAAGAGTTACAACCAAGAAAATAAATAATGCCAAAGTACACAGATTAGTTTTGAGCCCTGTTGGGGTACTTGCTGGCTATCAAATCTTGGTTAATATGTCTAAACTTTTGTAAGTCTATTACATAGAGATAAAAATAATTCTATAGAGCGTGCCTCGCATGTGTGAAGCACTGGGTTTGATTCTCAGCCCCACATACAAGTAAATAAAATAAAGGTCCATCAATGACAAAAAAAAAAAAAATTCTATATTCCAGGGTTGTTGTTGGGTTAGATGATATAACAGAATTTTATAGATTAAAAAGCACTCCATACATGGTAATTCTCACTTTTTTGTCCAAAATTATGAGGAATTAATAAAAGCGAACAAAAAATTTAAATCGTCTCTTGAGCCAACAGTTGTAGCTTTTTTTTTTTTTTCTCTCTTGTGGTGCTGGGGATTTAACCCAGAGCCTTAGTGCATGCAAGGCAGGCACTCTACCAACTCAGCTACATCCTCAGCCCCTTAGCTTTTTCTTTATTTAGTTTTTTTCTCCAAGTTGAACATAAGGACCAGTGAAAACTAATTTGAGTTGCCATCTTCTATTTTTCTTGCAAGCCACAATAGAGTAACTGAATAAGCACACAGCTTTTAAAAAAAAAGCAGAAAGTAAGAGAGAGAGAAGAGAAATAAGGGCTTAGAAAATTTACAAACTGGACAACTCAGGGCATGTGCAAAAGCTTCGCTGTTGGTGGCACTCTTTTAAAGACAGAGTCTGCCATTGCTATTTTTTGATCTTTCCCCCACATCGCTAATAGTCTACTTTGCCCTTCCAATTTTTCTTTAATTTACTCTCACTTATTGAAACATCAATTAAGGGGCTGGGGTTGTGGCTCAGTGGTAAAGCGCTTGCCTAGCACGCATGAGGCAGAGGGTTTGATCCTCAGCACCACATAAAAAAAAAATAAAAATAAAAAATAATGGTATGCCATTGTGGAAAATTCAGAAAATAAAAAGATTTTTAAAAAAGTAATTAGTATTCAGATATAATCATGTAATCATTAAAAAAAATCAATTAAGCTAGGCGTGGTGGCACACGCCTGTAATCCTAAGGCTTGGGAGGCTGAGGCAGAAGGATCTCGAATTCAAAGCCAGCCTCAGCAACAGTGAGGCACTAAAGCAACTCAGTGAGACCCTATCTCTAAATAAAATACAAAATAGGACTGGGGATGTGGCTCAATGGTCAAGTGTCCCTCTGTTCAATCCCTGGTACTCAATTAAAAAAAAATATCAATTATGGGGCTGGGGATGTGGCTCAAACGGTAGCCAGTAGCGCGCTCGCCTGCCCTGTGCGGGGCGCTGGGTTCGATCCTCAGCACCACATAAAAATAAAATAAAGATATTGTGTCCACCGAAAAAACTAAAAATTAAAATATTAAAAAAAAAATCAATTAGGGCTGGGGATATAGCAGGGTTGGTAGAGTGGCTTGCCTCACAAGCACAAGACCCTGATTCAATCCCCAGCACCACAAACAAAAACAAACAAACAAACAAAAACAAACAAAAACAATCAATTAAATGTCATTTAAGTTCTTGTTATTCTGTTGGGTTCTGGGGATATAATGGAATAGAAAATGGAACAAAATCTTTGACTTCACTGAGTTTACACTTGGTTGGGAAGATAAATTTGTTTGTTCTTATTTTGCAGTGCTGGGGATGGAACCCAGGGCCTTGTGCATACTGAGCAAGTGATCTACCACTGAGTCATACCCCTAGACCCTTAAGAAGATAGGTTTTTAAAAACTAAATGGGGCTGTGTTAGCTCAGAGATAGGGTATGTATGTATGTACTTAGTACGCCGAAGGCACTGGATTTAATCCTCAGCACCAAACAAACAAAACCCACAAATCTAAAGCCATAAAAACCCATCAATTATGATAGGTGCTGTAAAATTAACAGACAAGGACCTGGGATAAAATGTAGGGGAAGATAAGTGTGAGGAACTTAGATCAGATGTCTAGAGAAGGCCTGACTGAGGGGAAATTTTAGTTTAATGCTAGAGGAGAACTAGCTGACTTGAGAAGATAATAGGAAGTATTCCAGGTAGTGGAGGAAGCAGATACAAAGGTCTTGAGGCAGAAAAGAGGTGAGCATTTTCCAAGCTTGGAAGCAAGACCAGTGAGACTGGGGCACAGTGAACAAGAGAGAGACGGGCAATAATCAGGTTGTACAATAGACTTCATCCACTGGGGTTAGTGTAGATTTTGTCCTGTGAGAGATAGGAAGACTTTTTTGAAGGATTTAAAGGAGGAATGTCACCTGATCAGATTTACATTTTAACAAGATCCCTTTGGCAATAGTGGGAGGATTATACTGGAGAGTGAGAGTAAACAAACAGTCCCCACAAAGGGGCTGGGGAGTTGACTGGCACATGATAATGGAGATATAGAGACCAGCACAGGAATCCACAGCTGTCCATTCTGTTTGGACCTGAGATCCACAGTAGCTGCTGATGGACTGGATGGGAGGGTGAGGGAAAAGAAAGTTGAAGCTGTCTCCTAGGCTACCACTTGGGCAACCATGTGGAGGGCAGAGTTTATACCACCTGGGGAAAACTGAGGGAATGGGGAAGGGGCATGGACTTCCATCCTCCACTTTACATTCACGAGAACTGCGAGACATCCAAATGGAGATCCTAGGATGGGGATGAAGACTGGGGAATTATCAGCATAAACATGGTACTGAACCCATGGGGAATAGACAAGGTAAATCCTGGGAAGAGGGAGAGAGCCTAGGTCTGAGCCTTGAGGGAACCTGAACTTTGGAAGTTGATAAGGCAGAGAACTCTCTGCTCTTCCTCTGCCATCCTCATTCGCAGCTGACCGACACTAGGAGAAAATGCAAAGGAGAGCAGTATTGGTCTTGGCAGTTCCTGTTGGGTTAGAAACTACCCTAGAGATTCTAGCGCCATACGTACACACATACATATTTTCTGGAAAAATTTATTCACAGCGTAGTTTTATATTTATAGTATTTTGAGATGAGATTTCCCTGTGTTGTCAGGCTGGCCTTGACTCCTGGGCTCAGGAGAGCTCCTCCTGCCTCAGCCTCTGGGACTCTGGCTCTATGTATATACATTTAACTGCACTTCATTGAAATTTTATCGTACTTGTTGCTGTTGTAACAAATTACTACAAACTTAATAGTTTAAGAAAACACAAATTGAGCCAGGTGTGGTGGCACAGGATTTAATCCCATTGGCTCCGGAGGCTGAGGCAGGAGGATCACAAGTTCAAAGCCAGCCTCAGCAATAGCGAGGCACTAAGCAACTCAATGAGACCTTGTCTCTAAATAAAATACAAGATGGGATGGGGATGTAGATCAGGGGTTGAGTGCCCCTGAGTTCAATCCCCAGTACCCCCCCCAAAACACAAATTGATTATCTTACTGTTCCATGAGTCAGAAATCTGACAGAGTCTCCCTAGGCAAAGAATCAAGTGTCAGCAGAGCCTTCTTTCTAGAGGATGTAGGGAAAAAGTCATTTTCCTGACTTTTCCAGTTCCTATAGGCTTCCTACATTCCCTGGTGTGACCTCTTCCTGCATCTTCAAAGCTAACAAAGGCCAGCTTAGTCCTCACGGTATTTGACTCGTTATAGTTTTAAAGATTTACTTGACTTAGTGGAATTTTCCAAACTATGTTGGCTACCTGATAAGATTTTGGTCAATATTATTCCTTGACGGAAGGGAAGGCTGGGAAGGCAGCCCTGTTGGTAAAACTAAGAACATACTGGACTGTCCTCCTCAGAAGATGAGGTGGTACTTGAGGTTAGTTCCCTGAAAAGGAAGTAACTGAGAGGTTCCTGCCCTCACCCTGCTCCACCAGGTCTGTGACGATGAGTGGCACCACTACGCTCTGAACCTGGAATTCCCCACAGTCACTCTCTATGCTGATGGCATCTCCTTCGACCCTGCTCTCATTCATGACAATGGCCTCATCCACCCACCGCGAAGGGAGCCTGCACTCATGATTGGTGCCTGCTGGACTGGTAGGTCCCTCTGATCATCTCAGTGGTTTACGGTTAGTGAGGGAATATAGGCTGATGAGGAGCAAGAGAGCAGCCTGACACTGCAGCTACGGCCATTTCCTGCATCTCCCTGCAATTGGGCAGGATGACTCTTAATGGTCTCTGCTGGAGGAGATCTTGACCTCCACATCTCCTCTAGTTCCATGGGTCATTATCTCTGACTTGGTGGAATTTACTTCTGAGTGTCTCCAGAATTTCTCTTTTTGTGACTTCAGCCAGTTCCCACTTTGTTCCATTGAACTGACAGTGATTTCCACGCCCCTGCTGGAGGGCATTACCCCTCGGAGCCTCATCAAGCTTCTAACTTCTAAGTCATTTCTTCCTTTTCTTTTTTTCTTCTGGGGGCACACATGTGTGTCTGACCAAGACCCTTGTGTTTCCCCAGCAATGTATGTGGGGGATGGTCTATAACAGAGGCCTGAAATTGAGACATGACAAAAGAAGAGGAAGACTCTCATTCTTCTCATCAATCTCTTCACAACCTAAGCTCACTGTCACCTCTTTTTTTTTTTTTTTGTCCTCAGAGGAGAAGAACAAAGAGAAGGAAAAGGGAGGAGACAACAGCACAGACACCACCCAAGGTACCCGGTGTCTATGAACAGGAGGCCAGCGAGTTCTCAGCTTTCGGATCTCTGTTCCCTTTTCCACCCAAGTCCTGTCCAGCCTGTCTAGTTGCTGCTTGACGGCCACCAGGGGGCAGAGCCGCAGAGAAATTCAGCAAGGCAGGGTCTCCCTGGAGCAATGAAGCTGGATGTAGCCTCCCTGGATTCTGTTTTTTTCCTGCCCACAGAATGTAGGAAAGGGTTTCTCTTGCTGGTTTTTCACATGGCAGAAAGGAGGTGGCAGGAGTCAGACATGCAGAAGGGGAAGAGCTGGGCATCTGTGAAGTTCACACACATCCCTCCTGGTCTCCTTGCATGCCACTGTAAACACACCCTCTCTTGCAGTCTCCCTCTATCCTTTCCGTTTTTCCACCGGCCACCCCCTCCTCCTAGTTTCCTTCTCTCTCTCTCTCCTTCTCAGAAGCTTTTCTCATTTCCAATTGCTTCTATTTTTTACCCTTCTTTCCTCCAGCTTCCTCCTGCCTTCATACTTGTGGTGCTGGGGATGGAACCCAGGGCCAGGCACATGCTAGGCAAGCTCTACCACAGAGTCGCACCCCCCTCCTGTCTTTTCTCTCATCTCTCTCCCTTCTCCATCCTGCCCCTTATCTGCACTCCTCTCTCCTCATCTCTTTTCTTTCCTTCTTTTCCATTTCCATGTTTCTCCTTTTCATCTTCTTCCTCAAGTCTTCTGCTCACTCTCTTTCCCCTTTCTCTCAGCCCCTGTCCTGATTCCCTCTTCTTCTTTCCTCCTCTCACTGCCCGGCCTGCTCCTGTGTTCCTGCCCTAGGAGACCCCTTGCCGATCCACCACTACTTCCATGGCTACCTGGCTGGTTTCAGCGTGCGCTCAGGTCGCCTGGAGAGCCGCGAGGTCATCGAGTGCCTCTATGCATGTCGGGAGGGGCTGGACTATAGGGATTTCGAGAGCCTGGGCAAAGGCATGAAGGTATAGCCCCTTCCCCGATCCTTTCCTTCTCGGCATGCCCCTCCCCTTGCCCACCTCTCTACCTTTGCTCCCTACCTCTCCTGCCTCCTGGTCCCGCTCTCAGCTGTGTCTGTGTCTGGGGCCCAGGTCCACGTGAACCCCTCGCAGTCCCTGCTCACCCTGGAGGGGGATGATGTGGAGACCTTCAACCATGCCCTGCAGCATGTGGCTTACATGAACACTCTGCGCTTTGCCACGCCCGGCGTCAGGCCCCTGCGCCTCACCACTGCTGTCAAGTGAGTGTTGGGTGGGCGGGGCAAATCATGGAGCATAGTCAGATAGTTCTCAGCTCCTGGGCCTAAGATGTCACCTAGAGTTAGTACTTCCCTCTCTGCCCCCACCTCCCCAGAGGACATTTGGTCTGCAGAAGGTCATATAGTAGTGTTGGTAAAAGAGTCTGGTCTAGATTCACAACCTATTCATTATTCTTTCCACTAAGCCACACTCTCGGGATTTTGAGGTTTTGTTCTTCTCCATACCTTTATGCAGATGCATTAACTAGGAGCAAGAAGACTGAGAGCTGGGGACCTGACATTAATCATGACTCAACACTAATTGACTGGATGACCTTGGGCAAATAGTGAGCTCTAGTTGCTTCACTGAGCTCTTGAAAGTCAAACAGGATGATCCAAGCTAGGGGTTGGCACCCTGTGGACCCAGGTCAAATCTGGTCTATTGTCTGTTTTGTAGTAAAATTTTATTGGAACACAGCCATGCCCATTTATTGACATATTTTCCATGGCTGATTTCACAATAGGATGGTACTGCTGTGTAGTTGGAATTGAGACTATATGATTAAAAACTAAGAGAATATTTGGCATTTGGTACTTTATTGAAAAATTTTGCTGACCTCTGAATTATAAGTAAATTATTTTGAATTTCTTAAATGAATAAGATTATTTAAAGATTTAAATACTTATTAGGAATTTGAAAATGAAGATTGAGAGGCAATGAAAACATAATAGTTAAGGACACAGGGTTTGTTACTAGCTTTTTAGCATTTGACAGATGTTATAAAGTGGGGATATTAATAGAATCTAATTCATGGAATTGTTATGAGAATGAAATGATATATCCCAGATCAAATGCCTAGTAGAGCCTAGCAGAGTGCCTTCTGTATTATATGAAGGCGTTTTTACCCCTTATGGTCTATGGGGCAGTTTTGGGGAGATACTGCCATTTAGTGTGTGGATTTAGGAGTCAGGACTCCTGTGTTCTCACAGCTGCCCCTCAACTTCTCCATAAGCTGTCTGAAGATCAACATCTCTGAGGTATCCTTATGTTGGTAGGGGCTGGAGGGGAGAGGGCTCTGTATTCTGCAGTGACTGGGCAAGATTATAACAGGCTTCACAATTAGAGCTGTAGAGAGAAGGCAGAGTCAATGGCTTTGGGGAATTGGGCTGCTGGTCCATGGTGTGGTCATGGAAGGAGAAGGTTACAGGTCACGTGGCACAGATGAGAGAGCTGAGTGTGCACCCCACCATGCCCTAGTCAGCACTCTAGTTGTTAAGAGCTGCCATCTGATTATGAAGGGCTTAATCCATCAGAGACCAAGGAATTGTCCCATTTCCTTCACTGTGCTCAGGAGCCACATCAGAAGGGAGGGCTGTCTTTTTGATCCAGGGTGGAGCTCTGCAAGCACAGGGGGAAGAATTGACATCCTTCTTGTTGACTGTCTTATTTGAATTCCTTCCAACTCTTTCATGTCTAGGATAGAGGCTTACCCAAGGGCTTCGATCTCGACTTTGGTTCTTCAGGAGAGGGAAGGGGCCTTGACATTTTCTTTATGAGGTTAAGAATGAGAGCTCTTTTCTCTCCATTTCTAAGGCTACCACATGGTTGGTGCTACCCTTATACTTCCCTTGTGGGAGAAAAATTTGTGAATGTGTGTGTGTAACAGGGAGAGACAGAGCATAGCAGTGCCTCCCTTTCTCAGTTGCATATGCTTATCCTTGCCCATGTGATTTCCCTAACTTCTAGTATTCAGTTCTTGGATCTCTGTCCATTTAAAACCAGATTTGTATGACTGGTTAATACTTAAATGCAACTTTCCTCTAAGATTAATTTTTTTTTTTTTAATTTTGTTGCTTAAGGAGGCCTGTGGATTCATGGCCTGAACCCTGGAACAGATGGAAACCAGATCTTTTTCTCCAACTTTGTCTTCTTTCCATATCTTTAGAATTTACACCTGCTTTCTGTAACTTCTATCCAGATGACTTGCCAGCACCTCTACCCAAATGAGTTAGTGCTGAAAAAATTAACTTTAATTAATCATTGCCCAAAGTAGCTACTCCCCCTAACTTCTCTTTCTAAAGATGCCTGTCCTTGACATAACCCAGGCTTGAAACCCCTTAGTCATCTTTGGTTCCTCCCTGTCTTTATCCTCCACATGCCAGGTGGAGTTTCCAGAGTCATCCAGCGTGCTGGTGTTTGCAATCTGTTTTATCTTTTTCCCATTCTGTTGTTACCCCTCCCACTGAAACTCTCCTTACCTCTCACCTGGCCTGTTGCCTCCTAACTGACTAGCTCCAGTACACCCTACACCCTGAAGCTAGATAAGTGATCTTAAATCCGATTTTTGATCAGCATGCTCTCCTGATGAAAAAGATATTAATGACATTTTGTCCATGACATGAAGCTATAAACCGAATTCTTATCATGGCATTTAAGGCTCCGAGCCATCTGGCTCTGGTTTGCCTTCCTTGCCTCATGTCCCTCTGCTCCGGTGGTGTGCTCATCACCATCCTCTCTACCTTTTGCATTGGCAAAGTCCAACCTTCTTTCAAAGCTAGCTCAACTACTAATTTTCCTGACTTATTCCTACTTTTCTTTTTCAAGTGCCCTACTCCATTCCCTTTCCTCTGTTGGTTTTCCCCCCTTTGGTCCATTTGGTTTAAGGTTTGTGTGCCATATCTAATCTCTTTATCAGATTGTGAGTACCTTTGGGTCAGAGACAGCCTCTTATTCTTATTTGGGTGCCCCAGAGCAGTAATGTACTACAGGATTGCTCACTGCATTGGAGATGCCTGCTGGAGTTATTTTTCAGGTATAGGAACTCAGTAAGTTCTAGGCATTGGTAACTTCAGGGACTCTGGGCTAATCATACCTGTTGAGAGTATGCTTTTTTCATTTTGGCTCCAACAGCCAACCTGGGCATGCTCAGTAATACTGATAATTACAACCTCTCTGCAAAATCATTTCAATTAGTACAAGCATATGGAGTCCCTACACTGCCTTGTGAAGATTGCTTGTTCAAAGGGGAATGTCTTAATTTTGTGCTGCTATAACAAAATACCTGAGACTGGATAATTTATAAAGAATCAAGTTTCTTTCTTTCTTTCTTTTTTTTTTTTTTTTTTTTATAGTTTTAGAGGCTTGGAAGTCCAAGATTGAAGGGCCATCGTCTGGCTAGGGCTCCTTGCTGCATCATTCCATGTTGGAAGGACAGTTGTGTGTGTGTGGGAGGGCAAGCAAGCGAGCAAGAGATAAAACTCACAGACTCAAACCCTTTTATAATCAGCATTAATCCATTCATGAGAATGGAGCTCTCATGACCTAAAGACCTCCCATTAGGCCCCACCTCTGGACACTGCTTCTTTGGGGAGTAAGTTTCCAACACATATGTTTTGGAGGACATGTTCAAACTATAGCATTCTGTCTTTGGCCCCCCATATTTGTTTTCCTCACATGCAGAATATATTCATGCCTTCCCAACAGTCCCAAAGTCTTATCTCATTCCAGTACCAATTCTAAAGTCTAAAGTCCAGAGTTTCATCTAAATCAGAGATGGGTGAGATTCAAGGCATGATTCATCTGCAGCAAATTCCCTTCCATCTGTGAACCTGTGAAATTAAACAAGTTATCTATTTCCAAAATACACCGATGGGACAAGCATAATATACACATTCCCATTCCAAAAGGGAGAAACAAGAAGGAAAAAGGGTAACTGGTTCAAACAAGTTCAAAAGCAAACAGGACAAACAACATTAAACCTTTAAGAATCCAGAATAGTTTCTTGACTCCATGTGCTGCCTCCTGAACACACTAGGGTGGGGATTCAGTTCCCAAGGCCTTGAGTAGTCCCACTCCCAGGGCTTTGCTGGGTCCAGCCCATGTGGAGCTCTTACAGCTTGGAGTTTCATGCCTGTGTTCTCCCAGGTTGTGTTGGAGGCAGGTAGCTCTGTAATTCTGGGGTCTCCATGGTGATTTCATTTCCATGGCTTTACTAGATATGACCTTAGTAGGGACTCCTTGTAGGGGTGTTGAGCTGAAATCCACTTAGCTCTTTGTAGTGGCTCTATAGCTTCCTGAGTTCCCTGCCATCTGGGACATGCTTTGACCTATAGGCGAAGGAAGCCATGCCCCCGAAGCTCTTGCATTTTGAACCCCTGCAAAGTCAGCACCATGTGGATGCCACCAAGACTTATTGCTTGTGCCCTTTAGAGAAGTGGTCTGAGCTGTGTCTGGGATGGCTGAGCCACGGCCAAGGTGCTGCACCAACATGTGGGGAGCAAAGACATGTGGTGGCACAGAGCTGAGGGTGATGATTTCTCTTGAGTACCCTGGGTTGCTCACTTGGGGGCTGCCTCAAGATCTCTGAAATGCCTTTGGGGACATTCTCTCATTGTCTTGATGCCTAGCACCTTCTTTCTTTGTTTTATTTATTTATTTTTGGTACTAAGGATGGAACCCAGGGACACTTTTGTCCCCCCCCCCCCCGCCAGGGACACTTAATCACTGAGCCACATCCCCAGCCCTTTTAAAAAAAATATTTTATTTAGAGACAGGGTCTTGCTGAGTTGCTTAAGGCCTTGCTAAGTTGCTGAAACTGGCTTTGAACTTGAAATTCTCCTGCCTTAGCCTCCTGAGCTGCTGGGATTACAGGTTTATGCCATAGCACCTGGTTACCTTATTTCTTTCTATTCATGCTAATTCCTTTTTCAGAGGGTTACTTGGTCATACTTTTGCATGCTTTTTCATTTACTTGGCCAGGCTGTGTATTCTTCAAATCCCTTAGTTGTTTTTCCCTTTTGATTATAAATTCCATCTTTATTTATTTGTTTTCTGGTACTAGGGATCAAACCCAGGGACACTTTACTACTGAGCTACATCTCCAGCCATTTAAAATTTTTATTTTGATGGGGGCTGGGGATGTGGCTCAAGCGGTAGCATGCTCGCCTGACATGCGTGCGGCCCGGGTTCTATCCTCAGCACCACCTACAAACAAAGATGTTGTGTCTGCCGAAAACTAAAAAATAAATATTAAAAAAAAGAAGAATCCTATAAAAAAAATAAATAAAATTTTTATTTTGAGACAGAGCCCTGCTAAGTTGAGGAGGCTGACCCTGAACTTGCGATCTTCCTGCCTCCTCCTCCAGAGTTGCTGGGATTATAGATGTGCACCACTGCAACTGATTATAAATTCATCTCTAAACAATTTCTTTCTTTTCTCATTTTACTCTGTGTGGTTAAAAATAGTTATGCAACTCTTTCAATATTTAACTTAGGTATTTCTCCTGCCAGATATTCCAGTTCACTGCTTAAATTCTTCTTTCCACAAAACCTCAGGCATGAATACAGCTCAGTCAAATTCTTTGCCAATTTATAAGGATTACCTTTACTCCAGTTTCTAGTAAGATAGTCCTCATTTCGGTCTGAAATCTCATCCAAAAGGCTTTACTCTCCATATTCCTACAAGCATTCTGATCAGGTCCTCTTAAATAATCTCTAAAAGTTCTGTACTTTCCCTGTAGTCCTTCTTTCTGAACCCCCACTAGAATCACCCTTAATGTTCCATTCATAGCAATAAAGACCTTTTTTCAGGATTGACTTCAAAACTGTCTCAGCCTCCACCCATTAGCTAGTTCCAAAAGCTGCTTCCATATTTTTAGGAATTGGTTAAGCAGTACCCCACTTTTCTGTTACTAAGTTCCTTAGCTGGTTCTGTGCTGCTGTAATGGAACAACTGAGACCAGGGAATTTATAAGTAGTAGAGATTTGTTTCTTCAGTCCAGGAGGCTGGGAAGTCCTAGATTGAGGGACTGGCATTTGGTGAGGGCTGTCTTGCTTCATCATCTTATGGCAGAAGGGAAGAAAGAGTGAGAGACAGAGGAAGAGATCAAATTTATAGTATGAAACCTTTTATAGTCAGCATCAATTTGCTCATAAGGATGAAGCCCCCCCAATTTAAACCCCTTCTGTTAGACCCCACCTCCTAGCACTGTTGTACTGGAGATTAAGTTTCCAACACATACTCTTTTGGAAATATATGAAAACTATATTATGGAACTTCTTTATAAATAAATTTTGTTGGTGAAAACTTGATCCCTAAATGGTGGCTTCGGTTTAGTGGAAAGATCAGTGGACCTCAGTTTAAAATCTTGACTCTTAAACTGTCAAGTTTGTGTGGCCAGATGCATGATCTAAGAGCTTAGGTGCCTTCTCCCTATTTTATGGCATTGAAGCAAGTTTGTTATGAAAGACTGTGGGCAAAACGCTTAGAAACTGGCCAATGCTATGTGATTGTGAGGTGTCATTAATATTGGCAAAAGGAGGGGTTGGAGGTGCTCTGGGAACAGCTACTGAGCAGCTGTCCTGTAGTTTGATTTGGCTTGGCAGAGTCCTACAGGACTGAAGCCCAGGCTGCAGGGGGTGTATCTAGGTCCAAGGTCAGATTATTTCACCTCCCTGTCAGTTTCTCTCATATCAGGGAATGGAAGACACACCAAGGAAGAGGACATCCCTTGACAGATTTTTCCACCTTTCCTCATGTTTTATATTTCAGGGCACATATCTGCCAGATATTATACTGAACCCATGTACATTTTACCTCCCTGGTAAAGAACTGGGTGTGTATACACATTTTTATCAGTTCACTTTATTTTTCATTAAAATATAATTTGACAGACATTCCATAGTTTTGGGGCATGGCAAATTGATGATGTGATCACGCCCACAAGTTGGGGCCATCTCCCCTTCTGTCCCTGACCTTTTCCTTCAGTGACATTCTATTAGGGAAGGAGACCTTCCCTCCAGCTTTGATGTGGGGGTTGGGGTACAGAGACACAATCCCTCCCCAACCCCTCTCTAACTTGGGTGCTCCACTGTAGAAGAGGAGGCCCAGAGGGGCGAAACAGAATATAGATTTTTAAAGGAGGGGGCATTGGGGTCACCAGCTGCCTCTTTCCCTTTTCTCACATAGATGCTTCAGCGAAGAATCCTGTGTCTCCATCCCTGAAGTGGAGGGCTACGTGGTGGTTCTTCAGCCCGATGCACCCCAGATCCTGCTGAGTGGCACCACTCATTTTGCCCGCCCAGCTGTGGACTTTGAGGGACCTGAGGGGGTCCCTTTGTTCCCTGATCTTCAAATCACTTGCTCCATTTCTCACCAGGTGGAAGCCAAGAAGGACGAGAGTTGGCAGGGCACAGGTGAGGATGATCCAGGGAGTGACATCATCCAGAAAAAAAGCCAATGTCTGGAACCAGAATAAGGGAACAAGTCTGGGGCTAGAAATGGAGAGTGACTTCCTTCTGTGTTTCTGTGACTAGAACAACTTACCCTTAAGAAATAGAGCGATGAGGGGCCGAGGCTATAGCTCAGCAGTAGAGTGCTTACCTCACACATGCAAGGCACTGGGTTGGATCCTCAGCACCACATAAAAATAAACAAAGATATTGTGTCCATCTACAACTAAAAAATAAATTAAAAAAAAAAAGAAAGAAATGGAGTGGTGGGAGGCCCATGAATATGAAGAAACTATTGTGGAATGATCATGAAAGGTTGACTACCCTTAAGGATGTCCCTTGGGGTAGGGGCAGTGGCCATAAGGTGATGACCCAGCTCTGACCCAGACTCTGACTCTCTTTACCCAGTGACAGACACGCGCATGTCAGATGAGATCGTGCACAACCTGGATGGCTGTGAAATTTCCCTGGTGGGGGATGACCTGGACCCTGAGCGGGAAAGCCTGCTCTTGGACATGGCATCTTTGCAGCAGCGAGGGCTGGAGCTCACCAACACGTCAGCCTACCTCACCATTGCTGGTCAGTGGGGCCTGAGAGCCTCTCCCTGTGATTAAGCACTTAGGAAACCCAAAGGGTCCTTTTTCCAGGCCCAGGGATGTGACCAAGTGTCAGCTTGTACCTTCCCAGCTAGAAGATCTCTTGGCTTCCATATTGCCCATAGGGAAAGTGAGCTGGGGTGTGAGCTCTAGCAATTTCTCTCCCCTTCTCCTCTCCATAGTCTGGGTCAGCTCTACTTCTGCTTCTACTTCAGCTCTACTTCTGTTCTCCTTCAGATCTCTTTCATCCCTCTCCTCCTCTGTCTCAGTCTTCCCAGACTAGCTTGCTCATCTAGCTGTTTCGTATTACTGGACATCTTCTCTATCTCTTGCACACACTTAAGTTAAGTGCACATCTCATATTGAATAGTGGGGAGTGATGATTTGGTCATTTGCAAAAGAAACCTCCCATTCTCTGAAGGGCCCTCCTCAGGGAGAACGGGAGAAAGTAGCTATCAAGCATTTATTAAGCACCTATAAGGTACTAGCACTGTCTTAAGATGCTATTTGGGATATAAAATATTATAGGACAGATACAATACCAATTCCCTCCTATTTTCATTCTCTCCCAGGGCCTCACGGAGGCTGTGTGTTCCCCATTTATTTTCTGTTGGCCTCCTCCCTTCTGTTTTTCAGGATGTCCTTATTGTCTCCTTTCCATTCTTATCCAGAAACCACTGAGTTAGTTGAGAAGGGAAAAGCAGAAAACAGCTTTGGTTGCTTTACCCAAGTCCATCCAAGTGGGGTTGAAAGTGGGGGAGAATTTCTTCCCTGTTGAGGGATGGGGAGAACCCCTTCTATGGCTTTGTCAGCTGGTGGGAGTCCAAGAGAGGGGCCATGTCCCCAGGCCCTGCACTGAGCCTCTTCCTTGTCCCCAGGGGTGGAGAGTATCACTGTGTATGAAGAGATCTTGAGGCAGGCTCGTTATCGGCTACGACATGGAGCTGCCCTTTACTCCAGGAAATTCCGTCTCTCCTGCTCAGAAATGAATGGCCGCTACTCCAGCAATGAATTCATCGTGGAGGTACCCAGAAAGTCTCTTTCCTTCCACAGCTACTATCTCCTGGCAAGGAGCCAGGGTGGGATGGACTCAACTCAATAGTGGTGAAGGGCCCTGAAGGGCAGGACATGGCAGCATGAGGACTTCTAGACCTGGCAGTGGGTAGAGAAGGAGATGTGGGACAGCAGTTCAGAGATGGAGCTGGGCTCTAAAGGGGTGAGAAGGGGTCTGGGGAGAAGCATGGTGCCCATCGAGCCTTCCCTCTGCCTAGGTCAATGTCCTGCACAGCATGAACCGGGTTGCCCACCCAAGCCATGTGCTCAGCTCACAGCAGTTCCTGCACCGTGGTCACCAGCCTCCTCCTGAGATGGCTGGACACAGCTTGGCCAGCTCCCACCGGAACTCCAGTAAGTAAAGCTAAGTGGGTTCAGGCAAGAGTGGTGGGTGGTAAGTGAGGGTTGGGTACTAGCGTCTCTTCCACCCTTGGGAGGAAAGGAGAAGGAAGAACAGTTGATTCTGTTTCCTGTGGTACCTGTTTTAGTTGACAGCTGTGGACTAATCCCTTTATCCCACTGAATCATTAACTCCCTTGTGACAAGGTGTGCCCTGAGTCACTGAAGGGACATTGTGCCTGGAATCATAAGTCAGTGTGTGGTATAGGTGTCTGTTATTCCTGCTGACCAACCTTCTCCCAAATTAGCTCTGGGCTTAGAGATCCTCTGCAGTGGAGCTATCAAGCATTTATTAAGTGCCTACAAGGTATTCACACTGTCCTAAGATGCTATTTGGGATATAAAATATTATAGGACAGATACAATTCCTGTCTTCAAGGAATAAGTTGGTACTTTTACATGTGGCATTATGTGCTTTCTGTAAAGAAGTAAGAATATTTCTAGAACAAAATATGGAAAGTATCACCTCCAGATGGGGTGTTGCCTTTAAAGCAATCTCAGTTCCTGACCATGGTTCTTTCCAGTGGTATAATTTTTACTTTCCAGTACAAATTGCTCAGCTGAAGAAAAACTAGAAAATACCAATATACAGAAGAAAAATCTGCCTTACTTTCATCCCAGAGAGAGGAGAACACTGTTAATATGGTGTATTATGTTCTAGTCCTTTTTTCTATGCCTATTTTTCTCTTTTTATAAAATTGAGATTGATCTATTTTGTAATCTGATGTTTATACTGGGATTACAGGTGTTTGCCTCTGCACCTGGCTATACTTAATACCATAAAACAAGTCTTCATTACTGAAAAATGAAAAATGATGCCGACATTGCTGAAAGTAATGTTTGGAATCCCTCTTTAGAATTTTTTTCAAAGCTCACTCAGGTGGTGCATTTATTTTTGTCACTTTTGGGGCACACTTTGCTTTTGGCCTGGTTCAGTATCATCTAACTTCATCATCTACTTTTGCCAGAGTTGGCTCTGGAGATCATTCTACTCTTTTTAAGCATTAAAACCACTACCAAAGGCTACAGACTTGTCACTTTTGGAAAAATGTCAAAGGGTTGTATCCCAGGCTCTGAAACCAACTCCCTAAGGAGTTCCACGAATGCCTTCTGGGGGGAAATTCAGGGTCACTGAACAGTACCATGAAGGTAAGCACTCATCTCAGTATTCGTAATGGTAATACCACAAACAGGGCTCTCACTGTGTTACTGGGTTTACATATATCAACTCATTTAGCCATTACAAACAAAAAACGAAATAGATGCTCTGTTCCCTTTAAATGTAAGGAAACAGAGGCACAAAGAGGTCAGGTACCTTACCCAAGGGCACACAGCTAGAAAAAAGGTGGAGCTAGGTTCAAATCCAAGCAGCATGATTGCAGAGCCTGTGCACTAACCATGGCCCTTAACATCCTCCTCAGGCTTCCCAGAATTTCTACCAAAGGCTAGCTACCCTGCTGCTCCCAGGGATTCATTCTGGTTTCCTCTCCTTGTGCAATGGCCACCACCTACACAGTTTCTGTGTCTCTGGTTGTCTCCACAAACAACTGCAGAGTCCTTCCTGTCAGTTCTACTATGATTTGTTACAGCAAAGTAGATAGGAATAGAAGGGAGGAGGGGATATAAGGCATAATCAAGTTGCAAAGGTTCAAAGACACTTCACATAGTATTTTAGATTTATTAGCAAATGAAACCTGTTTTTTTTTTTTTTGTGAGTGTGTGTGTTTAGGATTTTTTTTTTTTTAAACACTTGGGGCTAACCATATATATCTCCCTGTGACTCCTTAGTTCTTTCTCTAGTTCTTTTCTTGGAATCATCCCACTCAATCTTTTCCCGGTTGCATATTGGATCCTGCTATTTCAATTAGGCTCAAGATAGATCTGGGTATGCTTCTGGGCCTACCAAGGTTCTTGATCTTTTTTTTTCTTTGGTAGGAAGGCCCAGATGAGGGAGTGAGTCCTTGTTTTTTTTATTAGTTGTAGTTGGACACAGTACCTTTATTTTATCTATTTATTTTTATGTGGTGCTGAGGATCAAAACCAGGGCCTTGCATGCATGGTGAGCGTTCTAGCACTGAGTCACAACCCTGCACTATCCCAATCCTTGTTCTTAATGTTGCAGAGCTTCCTCCCCAGGGTGTCCAGGTGCCCTGCAGTAACTGGTCCCATAAGCAGCTTTTCTCACCCACCATACCCCAGACCTGCCAGGGGTGGGGCTGATGTTTGTAGATGTTAACTCTTTCTCCTCATGACAAAGCTTAGGCTCCCTTTCTTTTGTTTTGAGCCAGTGTCTAGGTCTGCTGAGCTTTCTGCCGGAGATTTGGGGTGCGGAGATACTGGGGATTGAACCTAGAGGCATTTTATCTCTTGGCCACATATCCAGCTCATTTTATTTATTTAATTAATTCTTCTATTTTATTTTTTGGTACCAGGGATTGAACCCAGGGGTGCTCGACCACTGAACCACATCCCCAGTCCTTTTTTATTTTAGACAGGTTCTCACTAAGTTGCTTGGGGTCTTACTAAATTGCTGAGGCTGGCTTTGAACTTTCAATCCTTCTGCCTCAGCCTTGTGAGTGAGTAGCTGGGATTATAGGTATGCGCCACCACACCTGGCTCCTCTAAGATTTTAAATAGCGTAGCAGCCTGCCTTTCCTTCTTCCCTTATTTCCACCTGAATGGGCACAGGGTTCATAGTTTCCCTGAGGACATTGCCTGTGCTCCTCAGGTGACCTTTTCACATGCCTTTTCTGACTCCCCAAGGTGTTCCCTCCCTTTTACCTCCCAAGTCCAAAAGTGTGTTGCAGAACTGTGATTTCACAATATCAAACTATAAACACGCAGAAGCAGTTAGACATGTGATCTTAAGGCTCATTTCTCTGCAGCTCCTAAGATTGGTGTGTATTGAGATAGTCAGGGAAAGTTTTATGGCATATGTAAAGTTTGAACTTGGACCACAGGAAGAAGAAGGTCTCCGAACTAGAGAAGCATGAGAGAGAATGCAAATTTGAGAATTTGGGAGGGTGATTAAGAGAGTTTATGGTTAGGAAGAGCAAGGTTGTCTGAGACAAGATGATGAAGACATTATTTATGTAGTTGATCCAAACTTTGATGTACATCAGAGTCAACTGGGGAGCTTTAAAAACTTCTGGTGTTTAAGTGGCATCCAACTGATGAGATCAGAGTGTCTAGGACTAAGAGCACCAGGTAACAGTGGATTTAAAGATCCCCACTTGAGTCCAGTGTGCAGCAAAGTCTGGAATTATTCTACTTTGTTTCCTCAAGTATCTGAAAGTTTGCTGAAAGACCCATGAAGAAATAGGATGAAAAAGAAAATGAGCCAGCACAGTGGCATTGGCTATAGTTCTAGCTCCTCAGGCAGCTGAGGCAGAAGGATCACTTAAATCCAGGAGTTCAAGGCCAGCCTGGCAGCAAAGTAAGACCATATTTCAAAAAACAAATAATGTCAACTAACCAAACCAACCAACCAACAAACAAACAACAACAACGGGTGTGGTGACATGCCTGTAATACCAGCTCCTAGGGAGGTAGAGGCAGGAGGATTTCAATTTTGAGATCAACCTAGGCAACTTAGTGAGACCCTGTATAAAAATAAAATAAAAAGGGTTCGGGCTGTAGCTCAGTGGTATAGCATTTGCCTAATATACATGAGGTCCTAGGTTTGATTACCAGTACTGCAAAACAAAAACAAACAAAAAACCAACATGTAATAAAAAGGATATGAATTAGGCAATAAACAGGAAAGGATAATGATGAAAGAAGAATAAGATGAAATAAGAATAAAGTCAGTTCATAAAATACATACTATGAGAAACAGCACAGTTGTAAGGGTAGGGCCCAGAATTTTTATTCTGAACTTCCTTGGGGCTAAAGCAAAAGGAAACCTGAGGAGTTTTGGAAGTCATAGAACAGGGACCAATTGGTATTGCAAGAGAAATCCTGGGACTGAGATCAGAAGATTTCTCTACTGAGGCTTTTTCTTCATAGAAGGCACCATGTGGGGCTGAGGTCAGGGCTTTCAACAGTGCCATTCTGATGACATGGGCCGTTTGTTAAAATACCCCTTAAGGTCAGCCACAGAGGCCATTCAAGGGCAGAATCTGTTAGGATCTAATGCAGCAAGAAAGGTTGATTGGACTTCTTAAATGCTAATTTTTGTCTGTAGCTAAAAATCCTCCCATCTTCCTGGTCTCCGATTTATCTTAACCTAATTAGTCAGACTTGTCTGCCTACAGAGAAAAGTATCTACATTTTCTTTCATTTCTTATTTCTAGTAATTAACTTGTCATTTCCTTTACTAGGCCAGGAGCTCAGAGGGACAAATTTTATCTATCAATCTATTTATTTATTTTTATTTTTTGGAACTGGGGATTGAGCCCAGGGGCACTTAACCACTGAGCCACATCCCCAGCCCTTTTAATTTTTATTTAGAGACAGGATCTTACTATGTTGCTTAGGTTTTCACTAAATTGCTGAAGCTGGCTTTGAATTCGTGATTTTCCTGCCTCAGCCTCCTGAGCCTCTGGGATTACAGGACAAAAGCTTTTGATTAAGGTGTTCACCAGAAACTGTGGCTTGTTCTTGTTGTGGCCATAGTGCTAGTTGACCTGCTGTGGCCCCACTTTGAGGATGGGGTTGCCATTCCTTCTAGAGCCTGGGCTTAGCCACAATGGGCATCTGCTGGTGGGGTCACCCGCCAATAGGTCTTTTCCTTTGACGTGGAGACCTGCGAGGGACTATTTGGGGCAGCTCTATCCCCTTTCCCCTCCTCCTGATCCCCAGCCAGGTGGAATGCTGATCCAGCCAGGCTGATCTTTGCCTTGGAGCCAGCGCCCAGGGAGCCTACCAGCTCTGCCCCTGCAGAGATAGCTGTATTTTGCAAGTGGCCCCAAGTAGGCTATGGGTCGGGTCAGGATGGGGATCAACTTGGTAGAGAGCCATCAGGGTGGCCTCAGGGAGGTCTGTGGGTGGCAGGCCTGCCTAGGCAGTGTGTTTCCACTCACCTGGTTGGCCCTAAAGCGGATGGCAGCAGGAGAGTTTGACTGCTGGTGAGGAGGGGTCTGCAGCAGGATGTGGTAGTGGTGGGGGGCTCTGGTGCCACATGCTTTTCTATGCTCTGCTCCTTCTCTTGACATGTTATGTGGGTAAATTTGAAACTGTGCTGGGATATAATTGTGTGTGTATGTGTGAGTCCATGCACCTCTAGGGGCTTGCTTATGTGACCGCTAATTGTGTGTGTGTGTGTGTGTGTGTGTGCAGCTGTGGGAATCCATGTGGCGTGTAGTGACCCAGATGCCCGCAAGGGCCCTGGGCCTGGTGTTGTGTCTCTGGGGTCTCTACCTCCACTTGCTGTCCCTGGGACTGTGGGCTCTCCCTCTTTTCTTCCGAGTGCTTCTCCGAGTGCTGTGTGTGTGTGTACAGAAAGGAGGCAGAGTTTTGTACAGGGCTGTTTGCTCCGCAGTCCTTCTGGTCCAAGTCTGTACTGTTTACATCTTTCTTCAGGGTCTTGCTTGGTCTGCTCAGCTGGCAGGGAGCTGGGTGACACTGCACATATGGCTCTTATATGCCTTGCTGGAGACTCTGAGACGCATTCCATTAATCCTGCTGTGTGACCAGGCTGCCAGGTGGCTGGTGAGGGCAAGTGTGCAGGCCTGCAGAAGCCTGGCTCAGTTGAGGGGTATGGCAACACTTGTCCCACTGTGTGCCCACACACTCTTCCTGGGCATGTACCTATGCATGCACATCTTCCTTGCTGCCATCAGCTCAAGGGTCCACGTGAAAGTGCTTGCGCCCTTCTGTTTCTCGCTGCCTGTTAGGCTCCGTGTCCCTCTGGACCTGGGCATTAAACTGAGGCTGCAGGGCCAGAGGCATGGGAGGGCCAAGGAGGAGGCAGTGAAGCCTCAGGGGGAGATGGTTGGGGAGAAGAAGAAGCCCCATACCTCCAGGAGCCTCCAGACCTCAAGAAGACGGGAGCTGTCACCTGGCAGAAGTGAGCCCAGTCCAGGTGGGTAAGAGAAGGGGCCACTTCTTGTCCCAGGGACCTGTCCCCAGTCTTGGGGCTTGCACCTCCTTTCAAGCAGCTAGGCTAAGCTTCCCCTCTGCCCATCAAGCTCCTCTCTGTCCCCTGTGGGTACTGGGCCATCTCTTTCTAGATTGAGTGGTCTCTCTGTAAGGCACAGGCAGAAATACCAGGCAGATTCCGGTCCTTGTCCCTTGTCTGTGCTGATGGTAGGGTTGTTCATGGCAGTTCAGGGTCAGGAGCCTTCTTTTCCCCTGCCCTTCCCTCCCTTTTCCCACCAGTCCACTGTCCATGGCTCCCTTTGGCTCTTGCAGTAGCCATTCAGCTTCCCGCCCTCTCCTGTTTCTTGCCCTACCTAGTGGGCTCTGTTTCTCTTCCAGTTTCTCAGTTTCTTCTTCTGGGCCACCATGGATGCTGTCTTGTCCTAACTCAGGAACTTCCTCTGCTGGGGAGCCTCTTCCCCCAGGCCTCCCCCCACTCCTCCCTCGTGTGTCAGTTCTGCTAACCTCCCCACTCTCCCTACTCTCCCCACAGTGGTCCCCAGTGCCGCGACCCTCATCATTGTGGTGTGTGTGGGCTTCCTGGTGCTCATGGTCATCCTGGGCCTCGTGCGTATCCACTCCCTTCACCGCCGCGTCTCAGGGACTGGCGGGCCCCCAGGGGCCTCCAGTGACCCCAAGGACCCGGATCTCTTCTGGGATGACTCTGCTCTCACCATTATTGTGAATCCTATGGAGGTGAGTGGCTCTGAGGAATTGGGGAAGTCTATGGAGTCAAGACACTCCTGGAACATGCCCAGTAAAGACCCCTGGGTCCCATGTGAAAGCTCTTGGCAGAGCTATAATGAGCAGGGAGGAAGAAAGTTCTGACTGGGATGAGGTGGGGAGGGGGTAAAGGGACTGAGGGAGGCGTGGCTCCTAAAGGAGAGACTCTGGGGTGGGATCCTTGTCCTCTGTGTTCCCACCCTCTCCAGTCCTATCAGAATCGGCAGGCCTGTGTGGCAGGGGCTGCTGGTGGCCAGCAGGAAGATGAGGACAGCAGTGACTCAGAGGCAGCTGACTCTCCTAGCAGTGACGAGAGACGCATCATCGAGAGCCCACCACACCGCTACTAAGGCCTACATCCCGGACCAGAGAAAGAGAAAGAATTCTGCCCTGGTGGAACAGAGATGCCCAGGAAAGAAAGGAAGAAGGACATTCTGAGAGAAGAGAGACCAAGAGGGAGAGAGCTCTCTCTAAAAGAGCTGTCCTTTAGTCTCAAAACCCCAGTGGACCCCACTGGAGTCACCCCAACCCTTTCTCCTCCCTCCTGCTCCTCCTGCCTCTGGGCGGTCACTCCCTGTGGCATCTGGGCTGGATGACTCTGCCTGTCCTTTCTGCCTCCCATGGCAGCTGCCCCCTTAGCTCACCATGTCTTTGTCTCTCCCAACCAGTCATGCACTGAACTGGGGAGAGGGTGGCATTAGCCATGGCTGGGACAGGGCGGGATTGAGGGAAATCCTCTACTCTGTCCTTCTCTACTCTATCCTGTCCAAGGGATGCCCTCCTCCCCTGGGCTCTGTGGGGGAGGAAGGCCAGGCCTTCTCTGGCTCTCTTCTGATCCCCTCTTCTATTTCCATTTCACTCTGGGGATCCCTGCTCCTCCCCCTCTCCTGATTTCCTCCCTTCATTGTCCTCTTTCCTCCTGCCTTTGCAGTCCTGAGGTCCTGCAGCTCCTGCCCCTTCCTTCATGACCTGCTTGTGGCTAGGTTGTGGGGATGGGAGAGAGAGTGAGGGCCCCGGGTGTATTATATATAATGTATATTTTTTCAATGTTGTCGTGAGCGCAGCCCCTGTGTTCCTGTGTGCAGCTCACAGCCTTGTGTGTGTGTGGCATCGTCATGTCCTGGGGTGAGGGTAGGGGATGGGTGTGGTGAGGGAGGGGACACACCCTAGGGTTTTCAAATAAAATAAGAAAAAAGCTCCAGAAGCTGCCTTCTTCCTGTCTGATCCTGTGTGGGCCTGGGTAGCAGGCTTTTGGTCCTTCAGGGCCATTCAGGTCTCTGAGCAAGGCTGAGTGAGGGGGCAGAACTGATTATCTCTAATACCCTGACAGATAAATCCCCAGGGTTCCAGGCTAGTGGGAAGGTAAGATGGGGGCAGGTGGCTTTCACTGTCTCTTTCCCTTAGCATCCCCATAAAAGAACAGACAACTCAAGGAATGCCACGGGCACCTTGAGAGATGCTGAGTGCTTTGTAGGGGACACTGTCAGCCCCTCCTCATCACTTGGAACATCCTGCCTGACCACATGGGCTCCAAGCCCTGGAGTTGAAGGGAGAAGGCAAGCAACCCTGCTGTTTGGAACTAAAAGGGATCTGCAGCTCTCTTTGCTGACCAGTTTGTGACCCTCAGCCCAGGGAACTTCTGCTTTGCCTATGTTTACATGGCTCTCCTGACATGGCTGCTGAGTGGCCTCTCTTCATGCTGACCTGGCAGCCCAGCCTGAGGTCAGGCAGATTCTGGTCCTTCCTCAGCGTTTTGGGACACTGGTTTTCTGGTCCAGGTGGTAAAGGAACAAACCAGAGGGATTTACCTAGAAGAATGAGCCACTGGTGGGAGCATCACTCCTGTGCTCTCCTTGTCCTGGGAAATACCAGGGGCCCCAAGCCTCGGTTCCTTTCTATAGAAAGAAGGGAGTGAGAGTACCATTAAGATTTCTCCTAGTTTTCTCTAATACAGTGGGGTGGAGGTGGAGCTCTCTGGTCCTATTCTCATTCCACCAGGTGACTGTGTCCTAACCCATGGCTTCAATTACCAGCTATTAATGCTGCCACATTTTTATCTCCCCCTCCAGCCTCTTTCCTAACTGCTATTTCCACCTACCTATGGTCCCTCCACCTGGGCATCCTGTGCCTTGAACTCACCTTTATATTCACCTAGTTACCTAAGCTAGAAACCTGGGGGCCAGTCTAGATTCCTCCCTCTCCTTCAACCTTATGTCCAAATGATGACTAACCAGTCATTGCTACACCTTAAAATCTCTCCAATATGACTTTTCATCTTCCTCTGCTGTTGCCTTGACTCATACCCTCTTCTTCATTTTTTGCTTAGTCTATTCCAAGAGCCTCCTACCTGCCCTGGCCCTGTGTCTTACTCCATTCGATCCCATCTTTAATTCTGGGGCTTGTGACTCTCTGATTATGTCACTCCTGCTTGGAACCTTCCCAAAATACCTTCCTGTCACTGCTTGGGTCAAGCCCCTTGGCAGGACCCTTAGCCCAGGTGGATCAGGTCCTGCTTCCCTGATCTCTTTGCTGTCACCATCCCTTCCTGCCTTGCATGCCCTTTCACCATCGCCCAGCAATCTTATCACTGAAGACCCAGTTCAAATGTCACATCTTCCAGAAAGTTGTTCACATCTCCATGACAGCACTCTCCATGAAGCTGCAGTACATGTTTATGACAGATTCTCTGTATCCTCAGCAACTCACATGGGGCCTGACACACAGTAGGGGCTCAGGAAATGATGAATGAAGTTGTGCATGGTTCTCAGACTAAGATAATATTTACCAGTAGGCAGAGAGAGAGAGAGAGAGAGAGAGAGAGAGAGAGAGAGAGAGAGAGAGAGAGAGAGTTGCATAGGTGATATGCTGGCCTGGGGAGTTAGGGGACAGGGGGTGACCAAGGAGATAATCTACAGCAGCCTCTCCCATAGTGGTCTGCCTTCACATCAAGCTATTCTGTCAGTGCCTGCATGTAACACCATGTGAGAAGCAGCTCTACCTGTTCACCTTGGAATCCCTCTGGAGCTCCAGGTAGAGGTCAGAAGCTCGAGACAACAGAGAACTCTAGTTCTCAAAGGCATATGAATTGCAGGTTTTAGTTTGTGGCCTTGAATTGCAGTGTGTTCAATCCCCTTTCCACTCTCTTCTCATTCTCCTAATCATTCACCCTGGCACTGGAGGCCACAGCTTCCCACTGCAGAGAAGTGAAACCAGGTGGGATCTATTATTTCCATTGGTACTTGGAGTACCCTACACCATAGCTAAGACTTGTAACTTGGAGTTTTTATTCACCTCCAGTTCAAGCTTCAGGGGCAGAAAGGCTGCAGATGAGAGGGCAAGCTGGCTCTTGATGTGCGCATACCTGCAGACTGCCACATGGCAGCATATAGTAGCATATCAGTTCTTGGCCCTCCTAGATCATCTGTCCCTGGGACTGATGATTTTTTTTTTTAATGTAACCATTCTACATTAGTTTCCTTGGAAACAGCCTCCAGATTCAGAATCATCGGCCACTGATTATTTCTTGTAGATGTAACCTCCCCTATTACTCTTCTTTATCCTTAGCATCGGATACACAGGGCCCAGTCCACTCGTTCCCTCTATGACAGATGGGCAGGTCACACGGGGTGTGTATGTCAGTGGGGTCCTGGAGGCCTGCAAAGACCTTGAACTCTTTATACCAACACATGCCCTGGACTGTTCTCAATTCGCTGTCTTCCCTCTCTCAACTTGTCTCTCTCATGCGCATGCGCGCGCAAACACACACATGCAGGAATAGGATCAAGTATGAGGCAAGATGCTAATTCCAATGATGCAGGCAAAGAGCAGCAGGCAGGAATCCAAACTGGTTTTTATTTATTTATTTATTTTTTGAGATCTGTTGGAAAGATGTTCCCTAACCTCCCTCACAGAAGCTGGCAAAGCCTCAGGATGTCGAACTTGGCAGGGTTTCCAATTCACCTATTTCCAATTTAATTAGAAACAGCATACGCATTTCCCTTGGCTCCACTCAAAATTTTCCTCCTGAGATGGGGGGTTGTTTTCCTCTCAAGTCCACTCTTTGCAGTGAAAATTAATTAGCTTCTCAAAAGGTGCATTAAAAAGAGCTATGCCTTTGGGAAAAAAGCCATTCTGTAAAAGCAGATATGTTAGCTACCAGTTCAGGAACAATGTGTGTCCTTCCTGTTACCCAACCAGAGATGTGAAAACTCACCTTTGTGCCATTGGGGTAAATGGGCGCAAAGATGTGGGTCTGCCCACTTTGAGATTTCACCCTATAGCCTTTGGGCTGATGCACTGATCAGCAATACTTATAAGATCACCCATCAACCCCCACCTTGGGAGTTCTACAGGTCTGCTCCCAATCTTCTAGAAGCCATGGAAGATCTCATTTCCTTCAGATTTTACCTCCATTTCAGGGTTTCACTGAAGCAGATCCAATAGGATCCCTAAAGCTAACATAACTCAGTGCTTCTCTGGACTGTTTGATCCACTGGATCCTTGAGACCCTGGAGATGAGCTGATTGATGACCATTAGATTCCTCTGTGCCCTGTGGGTCCTGGTTTCCTCAATGCCACCTCCCAGGGAACCCTTTCCTCACTCAGGGTCCCGTGGAGTGCCTGCTCCTTCATGCTGCCTCCCTGGTGAGCCCTTGGCAGGCTGCTGTCTGAGAGAGGAGGAGCTGCCATGTTTACCTGCATGAGGCTGAAGTACTGGCTCTCCTGTGGCACCATGCCGCTGAGAGCTTAAAATACCAACGTCCTACAGGAAAAGGACAGATGAGGGTCTAAATTTAGTGACAGTTGGTAGGAGGGGGCGGGGGATGGAGCCTCTGGGATGTGGTTGAGCTTTGTTGGGAAAGGAGTAGGAACCCTGTATATCCTGAGTGGGGATTCTAGTCCACAAGGATAAGGGAACCTCTGTACCCAGTATTCAGTCTCAAGACCTGACCCCAATTTTTGCAATACCTCTTCCACCTTCCCATCAGTTGGGCATTTTTCCCATAAATCCTTGTGTAACACTTTCTTCATGTTCACAGTGTGGCTGGTACTGGGGGGCTGTTAATAGGTACAAAACACCTTTGAAAAGATCCCTGATTTGTAGTGTTATGTTACTAAAAGGAGAGTTTTTGTCCACCCCCCCCCCTTCCACAATACTACAGAGAAGAAAAATAAGTCCAGCGAAGAGAGGGAAGCACAATTTACAGATGGTGGGATGGTTTTCTTGTGATGGGGGTTGTTTTCCTCTCAAGTCCACTCTCTTTAGTGAAAATTAATTAGCTTCTCAAATGGTGCATTATAAAGAGCTATGCCACTGGGAAAAAGCCATGCTGTAAAGGCAGATATGTGAACTACTAGTTCAGGAACAGAGTGTGTCCTTCTTCTTGTTACCAAATCAGAGAAGCCACTGGGAAGGTGGACAAAAACACAGTGGGTGGCTGGGTGCAATGGCGCACGCCTGTAATCCCATTGGCTCAAGAGGCTGAGGCAGGGAGGAGGATCATGAGTTCAAAGTCAGACTCAGCAAGGGCAAGGTGCTAAGCAACTCTGTGAGACACTGTCTCTGAATAAAATACAAAATAGGGCTGGGAATGTGGCTCAGGGGCTGAGTGCCCCTGAGTTCAATCCCTGGCACCCACCTCCCCCCAACCCCCCCCCAAAAAAAAAAAAAAAAACACAGTGGGCAAAGCCCCAGAGTATCAGGCCCAACCCAGCCTTGTGCTGCTCATGCAACCTGTCCCCTTAAAGTTGAACAGTCCCACACAGACCTCTGGGCTAATGACCTTTTACTTCAGGAACCTACCCTATATACTATCTTATTGCTCCAAGGAAAGCCCAAAGCACCAAGGTGGTGGGGAGGAGGTTCAAGACTAAAGCAGTCATTATATAAAATGACGCCCATGTCCATATCCCAGCAACTTAGTGTTGTCTTGGCCTTAAACTTCTCTAAGTTTCAGTTCTTCACCTAAAAGAAGTGTCTTGATCTATTTTCTGCTGCTATAACAGAATATCTATCACTGGGTAACTTAAAATCAACAGAAATTTGTTTTACGGTTTTGGACCTAGAAAGTCCAAGATATATGGTGCTGGCATTATGTGGGGTCTTTCTGCTGTGTCCCATCCCATGGCAGAAGGCAGAAGGGCAAGAGATG